TTAGGGAGGAATACATTGATTGAGTAAATAGTTTACATATGGTTAGTCCTGTCAGTGGCAAGTCACTAAGACCAACAGCCTTTTCACACACAGCTAAAATTCTATAAACATGATTAGTATAAACGTGTTTCGAACGTGTTTAAACTAATCACGAGCCTTTCACACACAGAAATTTTGTTGCGATCTTTAATAGTTTCGTGATTAACTACTGCTCGTAAAATGCGCAGTAGTGCCATTGCGCATTGAAGGTCATGTCATATCAATCAAAGCGCATGCTCCATCCAGTTTAAACACGTTTAAACACAAATTTCCTTTCACACACAAAATGTCAAGCTCTCTAGATACGAACTTCGTACCTGCAGCCTGCTTTTAGGGGCGTATGGATCGCGACTTCGTATCTATCCCAACATCGTATAAACGATGTTCACACTGGGAAATTTTGTCCATAAACATGTTTAAAACTGTTGAGTGATTCTAATCATCTCTAGATACGATGAATTTTAGCTGTGTGTGAAAAGGCTGTAAATGACACATCTTTGTACACTATAAACATTTTTGACAAATTTCTGAAAATGAAATACATGTGATTTACAGATGAATTTTTAAAATGCTTTAAATATTTAATTAATAGCTGAAGTATTGAAAACTTTATTACCAGTACACAAACTTTGGTAACTATCCAAGCTACAAATGAGCTCTATGTTTTCTGTTACGGCTGTAAAAATGAGATAGGATCTGCTTAGGAAGAGGCAGAAGAGTGTTAACTCTGTGTTGATTCATATGAGTTATTCCCTTCTGGTTCTCAGTGAATGATATTTTCCTTAGAATCACCTGATCGATTGGGCCAATATTTGGTTACCACCTGATATATTTTCTAATCTCACGTTTGTGATATTATGGTGGAATTAGTATACTGGATCAATCTGCATTGAACTTGGGAATAAAACCTACACACCGTAAACCAGAGGTTGACACTTGGGTCTGTGATGCTCTAGGGCCCCTAAAGTTTAACTCCAGACCCACCCCCCCCCCCCCATCTCCCAAGAAAAAAAGGAAATGTAAAAGAGGGGCCCATGTGTACAGACCTTCAAGTTTCAGTCCAGAAGGGTAATAACGCTGAGGTGTTTAAAGGTACTATGTCCCTTTTGCAGTCAACCTCAAATTCTGTAGAACTTTGCAGGAATTATCAATATGTCATGTATGTCCTATCTGTGAAATTTAAACATTAGCAGTGTCCTTATATTCAAATTATGCAAGGAAACCCGTTTACTTGCTAGACTTCACTGTCGGACACTATTAAGTGACTGACTGGCTTTTTTTTCTTCTTTGGTAATAACATACATGAAAAGAGTTGTAAAGGGTACATGACTGAGCATTTGTCTACATCAATAACCCACCTCTTGTGATGGTCAAGATTAAACTGATTGAATCTTTGCGCAGCTTAAAACGTATGACCATTCGGTACAAGTGTGTGAAAATCAAGACTATTACTTTTGGGCTCTATAGCCCTAAAGTCGATTTGACAACTAATAGTCGTTATTTTCCCACTTGAAGACATTTTCAAGCCCCACCTTTTTTAGGGAAGTTCTAAATTAGTATTATCTTTCAAATGCAGTTGGAATTTAACTTTTTCATTTTTTTGGCCTGCAAATGGGACATAGTACCTTTAAACTCTGTGAGGACGATACATGACTCTTTTGCTTGCATGTGTTTGGATTCTTTGTTTTTTGTAATGTTAATCTTACAATGGTAGTTTGTCATCAATTGAGTGCCAGAGCACCAAGGATTAGTGTGTGGACAATAACAATTGGTAAAGATGAAAGTGCACTCCAATTTGGTCACTTTCTTTTGTACGGTAATCTTACTATGGAACTGTGCCATCTGTTGAGAGCCAGAAGGGCATTAAACCTTTGATGCATTAGAGTCCTTATAGCTTTCAGTTGACAATTTGAAGTAGGTCAGTGGATTAACTTTTGAAAACAAAGCTGAGAGAAACAATAGTGCACTTTTTTAATGATGTTTTTAAAAAGGTATGTAAAGTGAGTCATCTCCTCACTGTGTTATTACGGGTCACAGGATCGAAGGCCTTGTCTTGTATATTACAGTCTTCCGTCTGGGTCATGATCATCTGGGGTCATGATTGAGGAAAGGCAATTGGAGTAGAACGTTCTTGTTTCACACTTGACTAACAGTGGAGCCACAGGTACGAATGAAGCTTTGTACTTTTGATGTTTGCCCTGAAGAAAGTATTTTATTGAGATTAACAGCAATTGTGAGCAAGTACTTTAAAAAAAAACCAATGACTACAAGTGTGGACAAGCCTAATATGGTCTGAAGCCATCTCTGCTTCAGATTTTCTATGTTATTTGTTGTTTAATTGTGAGATTCATAAGGATAAGGGTAGCAATTTGGTTTTAGGTTAAACGTTAAAGGTGAGGATTATGAGTTAGGATATTAGGGTCCATGGAATTATGAGTGCAGGCATTGGTCACAGCAGTTGTATGTTATGCGATCACTTTAAGAAGCCAGATTATTCTCCAACAGAAATAAAGATAGTGTTTGGCCTTGAAAACTTGAATGAACTCAGTGATAAATATGTGTTACCTGACATTCAACACAGTTATTTTTAAAAGAAAATATAATGGTGATTTATTTTGATGTCTTATTATGACAGCACTAAGTAAAGGATTCAAATTTCTAACCCAAATGTATGGGAAAGAAGGGTCCTCATAATTCAAGTCATAGACCTTATTCTATTAGAATGTCCATCACACCAGACACCCTTCCCACCGACCACATCACCATCCAATTAAGTAGTTAACCCCCTACTGGCGACTTACACTATAGGCCTGTCTTTACTATCCAGCTACTGGTATTTGAACTATCCTGATTCGCAAACTATCCTGCTAATTTGCGTCTTCATCAGACCGAAGTAGCAATTAGCAGGATATTTGGTCGAGATTGTCATCCCAAGATATCTTGGGATAGTTTGCAAAATATCCCACTATTTGGCAAAATATCCAGCTATTTGTCCTGTGCGTCTTCACCAGACCGAAGATTCGCAATATGCGCTAACGCAGAGCAAAATATCTGAAGCTAATTTCTCAAGGTCGAGTTTCAATTTGGAGGTCGAATCGTAATTTCGGGACGCGATTTGTAACTTCAGGATTATTTCCCAAATCAGAAATAGCAGGCTATTTGGCAATCTCGAGATGATGAAGATACACCTTATGGCTAGACTTTGCCCTTGTGGCAGATTGTGTTAATCCTTTTAAGAGCCTTTGAATCAACTATTATTGTTGGTGTTTTAAGTAGATTCCAGATCTACTATTAAGAGTGAGATAAAAATCAATTCTTCTTTTCCTAGAATACTACATCTATTCTTAGATGACTTCTTTGGGTGTGAGTGATAAAGGCTGCGTTTATGCTTGATTTTGAAGGTAGAATGAGCGATCTGAAACGCACATCGTAAACGCTCATCGTAATCGCAGTTCCACGGTGTAGTGTTTATGCTCACTTCTCTGGCTCCTCCAGGCAATTCTCCCTGTGTGGCCTTAATTGGCCTTGCAGCTGGATTCGCAATCTGCACTGTGAACGCTACGTAGACCCAATAGAGGTCAGTGCGTTGACCCCATTCAAACGCGTTTACAAATTGTAAACGCATCTTTTTGTGAGTTTACGATCGGCAATCGTGATCGCCGTTTTTCGGTGATTCTACAAACGTGAGCATGGACGCAACCGTGTTTTAAACTAAACGCGTAACAGATGCCTGATTCTGGCCAGAAAAAGTTAAGCATAAACACACCCAAAGATACAAAAGCACAGCACTGCAGCCATTGACAGAAATCAGTCATGTGTATGACAGCTATGGCCTATTGCTTTTTTAAATCTATATAGTTTGGAAAAACTGTTCTAAGAACATTCTATATAGGATTAGTCTTTTAATATGTTGGATTATTGAGATAAAATCCCTTTTATCAAGGACTTAAATTGATTTTGCATGGTCAATAATCTGTTGGCATGAGATCTATCATGAAGTGAAGGGTGGAACAATGCATTTGATTGCTGGATCTCTTTGGGATTATGTAACATTTGATGTCATTGATTTTAGGTTAAAATGTCATGCAAACTGGAGTTCTTATTGCCATCATTGCCATGATTAAAACTAGCAATTCACACATTCATGGTAATGTTTGAAATGTTGAGCCAACCCTTCACTTGGTTAGAAATAATCTCTCTAAAAAAAATGTTATCATTGTTTATTAAATCCATCAAAAACAATACTTCTAGTATTTAATTTTATTATTTTGATTACAATGTCACCATGCAATACTGTCAGCAAGGCTGTTGTCAACTTATCCAACAAATGATATGAGTTTGTTTCCACGTTTCATGCATTGGTAAATATTAGTAATTCCCTTTCAAACCATCTTGTAATTTCAATATTAGTATATATGATGATTACATTTTCTATTTTTATTTTGTTATTATTTCAAGAAGTAGTTTTGTAGGCTGTTATAAAAACCAAAATTCATTAGTTCTAAATCAAACCCCTGTGCTGTATGAGTGTTATGTAACTTTAATAACAGTTTCTTTTTCTATTTTTGTTCTTCTCCCCTCATTCTATTTTCCTCCCACACTCAGTTTTCCGCTCTTCCTACCCTTTTTCCTTCAATTTCTTGTCTCCTTTTCATTGACTATCTATTTGAGAATGCTCTGTCTCTCTTTCTACCCTTTTGTCTCATCACCTCTTATACCGTAATGCATGATTATTCTTGTGCTTGTAACTGTGATATATCATCTGTACAGAGCCAGTAACTCTGTGTTAAAGCATGGAACAATGGTAAAAGTATATGAGAGATGCATTGGTAAATACGCCTCTTACTGATATTGTCTATTACTTGTACGGTAATTGCATTGCCAGATATTGATATCGTGGAAGATGATATAAAATCCCACATTCTTTCATCTCTCAATCTGATTTTTATTTCCATCTGCAGGCTCACATCTACAATGAACTAGGCTACACGGCTGAGAGAAACAAGAGCGCCCTCCTCTTCAGAGACTTGGACCAGCAGTACTCCATCTTCCAAATACCTCCCTTCCAGATCCTCTGGCCAGTTATTTAAAGCCCCACTGGACTACTTGTAGCTCCCTCTATATAGAAAACATTGCCCAATCGGTGACCATTGGTCCCCCATGATCCTCTTTTTCTTATGTCAATTGAGAGCTGAGTTGATGAGATAGCCACCTGGCAATGACCTTCCTGGGTGGTCTAATCCCTCCTAGCCAAACTAGTACAGACAGCCTTTAACCTGAAAGGTATGAAAAACTGGTCAATGAGAATACATGGAAGTGTCAAGGATTAGTGGTTCAATCGCTTGTCTCTCAATCCAAGGGTGAGAGGTTTGAATCTCAGCACAGTACTGAGGTCCTTTGACGAGACTTTGATCCACATGTGCCACTCTCCACCCAGGTGTTAATGGGAACCTGTCAATTGCTGGGGTAATGATAATTGCAGGGCCCTCAGGAGGAGTAGCATTGAAGCTGACGAGGCTTCCCTCAAACCCTGGGTAAACACTATTTCTTAGCAGGGGGGTGCACAAATGAAACTTCAAACATTTCAAATGACAACTTGGGAGGAGCATGAACTGATGATCGTGAAGTCCCTTGCAGCCTCCGTGTAGCTGTGGGGTTCTTAGATGCACTTTGATGCAAACTGAGCTATCATATTTTGATTTATTTTCAACGAAATATAATGGCTATATACCGGTATCTCGTAAATAAATAATTTTGTAGAGATTATTAATCTGATTTTCAAAGCTGTATCAAAATTCAAACCTGTCACAGGTACGCCCCCATTGGACCGCTCTGTGCAATTTTTTTTGGTCAGCAAAGAGTTTTGAAATGACATTTTATGGAGTTAAATGTAACATTTACTACAGATGAAACACTCCAGGCAGGTTCAAAGCTAATTTCTCTTGATTTGTAGTTCATTTACATGAGTTACCATCATCTTGTTAGTCCTAAGTTCACAAAGGAGGCTTTAATTGTAAGAGGTCCATGGTGTAAGCCCATGGATTAACCCCCCATACAATTAGCATGGGTATATGTCTTTATGTCCAAGGGATGCAGGATGTGGGCAATCCAGTTCACAATAGAGGCTCACAGAACATAAACCCATGGTTTAATATGCTATGGTGTTGTTTAAAATCCCCTCTGTGAATTGAGCATCTGGGCCTGTTTGACAGGTTGTTCGCATTGTGTGAATAAATGCATCTAATACCCCATTCACAGTGGTTTTGAAATTTGTAGCGGCGTTGTAGCGGAGCGGCGACACCGCCATAACACCGCTACAAATGCATTCACAGTAGAAAAGTTATCCCGCTGCAGCAGCGGGATAAATATCATGTACCCATTCACGCTGCAGCGGGTGATTTTTATTACCTCCGTAACAAACACGTGTATGCATGGCTCATGACCCGCGAGTGACCCCGATATGACAGGAAATACTTCAGCGCGGGGTTTTCGAAGAGGTCAGTGATAGGTAAGTAAACAAATCACACGTGTTTGTCGCGGTGTTATAGCGGAGAGCCTTCACACTGAGTAAACACCGCGACAGCAGCGGGACTGTCCCGCTGCTGTAGCTAGGCGAACCTAGCGATAGTTTGTCGCGGCGTTATCGCGAGGCGGTGTTATCCCGCGATAGTTTATAACGGGTCCGAGCCTTCACACTGAAGACAACACCGCGACAGCAGCGGGACAGTCCTGCTGCTGTCGCGGTGTTTGAGGCCACTGTGAATGGGGTATCAGAGACATCAACCTGTTTGATGTTACAAAACTCTCATAAAATGTTGACATGATATTTTCTTTATAATTTAGTTCTCTTGAAATTTAAAATAGTTCTGTGGAATTTTGGACTTGTCTTTGATAAATTAATTATTTACAGTGAAACAGGCATTGATTTGGAAATTACATTCTTCCATTTTTTCAAAATATTTAACTTTTGTCTATATATCAATAGAATATATTAAGAAAAGAGTCAAGTGGTACAGAACTCGTCCTAATTATGGGGCTTGTGTTTGATATGTGTGTGTATGATATTTAAATCAATGCAGGCATTGATTCAGAAATATGTACATTCTTTATTAACAGTAACATAAACTCTTTTTGATTACTATAAAATATAAGAGAAGTTCAGTGGTACCAAAAGGTGAATGTGGGCTTGTTTTTGAAAGCATTGTAGGAAGTAATGTGTGCAGTTATTTATTCTTCACAGTGAATTCAGCTTCACTGTATGAGCCTGCTCAGATTATAATGATCTGGTGATTACAAATCTTACTGGCATTTCACAGACATAAAATACACACAGAAACCATTTGAGGAATTTAATCAACAATAGTTTCATAATTACTTAGAAATGCATACCAGTAGCTTATTCACAGAGCATGATATTGTTGAATAGAAGCTGCATGCTTCATATAGTCTAGCATACCAATATATAAAAGAGATTTATGAGAAGAATTTTTTTTTGTTATTAGTTGTTAGTATAGACTTCAAGCACAGACCCAATTTGTGTCACTTCAGCTGTTTCATTTCTTGTTGCATTTGAGCAAGTTTAGGCTTAAGTCAGCTGAGAAAAGTTACACCATGTACCAAGTACACCATCGGTTAAAGATGAAGTTGAGTTCTGGGGGGTGTTTCACAAAGATTCGAAGTCGAACTTAACTCTAAGTTGGACTTAAATATTATGGAGAGCCATTCGTAGCCTTATTTTGAAATATATTCAAAAGCAAAATTTCATGTATTTTAGACTTTTCATAAATTCCACATCAAGAACATGAAATCTCCCATGATAATAGAAAAATGAATGATTTTAGTCAAAATTTTATGCATTTAAAAATAACTTTTACAAAACATTTTTAAAGATGCTAATGGCTTTCCATAATTGTTAAGTCCAACTTAGAGATAAGTTCAACTTAGGATCTTTGTGAAACACCCCCCTGGTCATGCGATTGCATTGTGAAAGAAACGGTGTGGAATCGACCAGAAAAGGTTGATCATCTAGCATATAAGAATTTGTGTGTATTGCAAGGTTATGGAATCATCAAAATGATAAGAAATTTGGCCAAGTCTTGGTAAAGTTACAAACGCTGTACACAGAAAGATGTATATGGGACTACACAAACACGTGGCGTAAAAATCCTACCCTGGTTTTTTACGATGTTACATGACATATTTAGTATATAAAGTCATTTGAAGAGCCATGCTTTTCAGGGAACACTTGCATAATAAGAATGATAACGCTCACAAATTATTTTTCACCTCTTCCCAGAACTCAACCTTCTCTTTAAAAAGTGTAGTAAAGTGTAGTCTACTGTATACAAACACTCAGACCTTGCAATGTTATGGACAAAGGGTCTGTGACTAGAGACTACTACTATCACCAGATGGCAGTAGATTTTTTGGAAAGAAGCCAAGATGATGAGATGAGAAGTGTGCAGTGTGATTCATGGATGAAATATAACCACACCTGAAACGAATAGAGCCACACCCTTGACAGTTTTTGTGCAGTTTACCAAATTTTAGTGGAATCTATTCCAAAAACAATTTTTAAAAGTCCTCTAAAAAAAAATTTAATCACCACTCAAAATAATGTGATACCTGCAATGTCCCCCAAAAGAAGTGTACTTTGTAGGCTGCCTGCAAGAAAGTGGTTGCTGCCATCGACTATAAAGAGGTCTTGTGGCCTTCTTGCATTTAGCAATTTCCATCCCTGTACATTGAGAGAGTCCAGTTATACCTGATGGAATAGTTAATATTATACAACACGTGGATCCTTGTCATTTGATTGGAGGATTTTTGGTCACATGATATTCAATAGATGTTATATTGCATGGGCGTGCATTTTTGGTTGTATGCAGAGTGCATTTTTCCAGTTGTTATATGCATACTGCGTACCTCTCTGCCATTGGCGTATCCCTGTGTGTATCTGACGCGAAGGCAATCAGAATGTATGTAATCGAGAAGGCTTGACTCCAACTTTAATATAAGGAGTAAAGCATAATTTGTTGATTAACGTTCTATTAGATCTTCTTTGATGTTGTATAAAACAAATAATGAATGTTTTTCATTCGTTCAATAGTGCAGATATTTTCATTCGTTGAAAGATTAACGTTAATTCTAGTCAACTCGGCTGACGCCTCGTTGAATAGAATGTTAATCTTTCAACTCATGAAAATATACGCACTATTGAACTCATAACCATTCATTCTTTGTATACCAGTACTATATTGTCCCTCAGCCCACTCCAACTAACTTGTGACATTGGCATGACGCAAGCTTTTTTTCTGGGAAAGTTTATTCTTTTCACTGTTGTGTCTAATGTAACTTGTAAACATTACAAATATCCTCTTTGAAGGAACTCCTAGTCTTAAAGGCAAGAATCTAAATTTGTATGCGGATGAGGATATTAACACATGACCAATTCCCATAGTATTCACTCTTGTGTATTCTCTTTGGAGCAAGAAGGGCACTCTTTCATTGCTATTGTACAATTTGTTACACACTTTGCCATTCTGTTTATCTTATTTTCCCGCTTTCATACAAATTAAATCATGAAGGTTGGAGTGCCCTTTAAATCAATGATTGTGTAACTTTGTGGTCATGAATATTTTAATTTCACGTTGTAAGAGCTACAGAATACAGATTTTTTTTAAAAGGCTGTTCAATTCCAGTTGGTTATGGATTGTGCTATTCCATTCGTAGGACAATTAGCAACTAATATATTAATGAATGGATATGGAAGAGGAAGTACATGTTTATGTTTACAGGAAACTGTCTGTTACTATATGGTGCACATTTTTGATGTATTCTTTGAGAATATTGAAATGCTTTGAAGAAAAATAATATTTTTTTTACAGAATAAAAAAAAAGGTTACTAGAAGTCATTTTCTTATTCTATCTACTTCTTTCTCTCCTTTTAAATAAGGGATTGGACTACGGAGGAATGGTGTAAAAGGGAAAGGGACAGAGACGGAGAGAGAGCGAGGGGGAGAGAGGGGAGTGTGTGTGAGAGAGAGAGAGAGAGAGGGAGAGAGAGAGAGAGAGAGAGAAGGGAGGGTACATGGGGAGCAAAATAGATAGATTTGAACTTGAACTTTTAGAGAGGGTTGAAGGAGAAAATGATAAGGAAGGCGAAGGTGGTGAGAGAAAATGGAGAGAATTAAAAGACAGATCAAAAGAATATAGGGAGATGAAGTAAATGAGAGGGAGGAGTGAGATGGGAAAAAGAGTGATACAAAGGTCAGAAAGAGAGAGAGAGAAAGAGAGAGGTGGGGGGGGGGGGGCGGCGGTGTTATTCTTTGAAATGTCAACAAAACAAGGAAATAACACAATGGTCTCAAAGGGATTCAACTACATTTGCAAACACGCTTATAATAATAAATAATAATGACGATTCGGAGAGTACAAGGGCACACTTTATAGTGAATCAAGTGGAAAATAAAGAAAATATGAAGACCTTCGAGTAGAAATGTCTAAAAAGGACGGCCCATTTCCTTGGGCGACACTAGTGATGGCCGGGTGGGGGGGGGGGGGGGGGGGGGGGTGTCCAGACTTCTCATAGTCATAGCCTCCAGATCTACCAAAAAATAATGTTACAACAGCACTAATTGCCATGAATATTTATCTTAATATTGTCCAATATAAGTTTGGGAAGATTTGGGAAATTATACTGCTTAAACTTCTTCAAATTGCTGTCCAGATACACAACCTTGACTTGACTGACACATATAGGTCCATGCTTATAAGTTATACTAACTATCACTTCTCCTACTGTTGACAGCCTATCCCGAAGTTCACACTATTTGATGCATAACATTCACTTTTCTTCGTTTCATGCGAAACGAATGCGATTGCCACAATTTAATCCAATGGTTGTGAATATTTTTTCTAACTAATTCGGTTTGGCTTTGCAGACTATTCGTTTTGTTTCCAAACAATCGGAGAGGACATACCCACGTGCTCTGAAGGGCGTGCATACATAACACGCGTGATTGTTTCATGTCATTGACATCATGCTTTCCTATGAACCAATGAGCGTCTGTACACAGTACATTGTCAGTACCATGCCCAATGAAAGGACGGGTATTCGTCACCGCGCTTGTGACGTCACTTACGTGGGCGGCTTCCTTCAAGTTTTATCGAACATTTCTCGCAAACCAGCAGCATTTATCGTTGATTTGCTCAACTGTGAAGCACCACTACTGTATGTTGTCCCGATTTGTATTTATTTAATACACTTCAGGTGAGTTACATTTCATGAATCGGCTTGCCGTTCTTTGAAACATGTTTTATTTCTTGAATTTTTCATATTTTAATGTCAATTTAGCGTAAGCTCCGTGAGAATTCAAGCCGCTAAGGTTGCGGATGTACCGTACAGGATCTAGACCTAGGCTACACTAGTAATACAAGAAAAAGCGCGCGCCTGCCTCACTTTGAATGAATTTCATGTTTCACGAGTTATCATTGCGAATCTGCAACAGAACTGCCAATATTGGGCTTAACTTTAGTTTGTTGCAATGTTTAATGTGAACAAATTTACTAAATTTCATAGATCATTTTTCAGCTGGAATCCCCCAACACCTTTGTTGACATGCATCAAACTAGTAAGAATTGAATTGCAAGTGAGCGCGGGTATTTTCATACATGCGTGCATGGCATGCCTGCGTGCTTTGCATTAACATAAAATTGATCGGAAACGGATAAAGCTAAATTCTTGATAATTTTCCGACATTTTTCAAATACATGTTGCAGTGGGTATAGGAATTGATCTGCTCGTTGCCGCATTTTGTTGAACTTTTCATCTTTAGGTGTATTTATTCAGGCATATCGGGTCATATCGTGCGATCCATGCCAGCCTTCATCCAATTTTTGTACCGCGCGCGCCGTGTTTGTCTCGCCCGATCTCCGGGCCCCGAGGCATTTCTGTCTCGCTAGAGCTTCGAAACCGGCATCGTGCATGATAGTAAGAGGTGATGCAATCCTGTACAGTCATGTTTATGGGGGCAGTCCTCGCGCTCATGTCGGACGTGGCGCGCAGTACATGTGTGTGTTTTGTGTCTATTGGTCTATTGTTGTGTGTGGTGGGAGAGCTAGAGTAGTAGTAGTAGTCTAGTACTAGAGATGTTGAGTGAGGTGAGGCCTGAGGGTGTAGGGCAGGCCTTCTCAACTGGCGGCGCGCGCGCCACTTGTGGCGCTTGCGGTCAGTCGGAGTGGCGCGGGGCTGTTCCAAACATTAATACAAAATAAATACAAATTAAATATTGAAAATTAAAGAAAAAAAAAATTTAAAAATACATTTTAAAATTAAAAAAACTCAGCAAAATCAAAAAGTCGTAGTCGAAGTTGAGCCCAAAATGTAAGTCTAGGGTCTAAGTCATTTTGTTTGTTTGATTTTCACTTGATTTTGACATTTTCTGTGTTTATTGCACCAAAATAACTACATATAAATTAGCTTCCAGTGTAGATTTTAGCCCGGAATTGTACTAATTATTTCAAATCAATATGAAAATATGATTGATGTTTTATGGAACAAAAAGGTGTTAAAAATGCCACATCTGGGCCTTAAATAAGCCCTAAAATCCACTAGCTTCCGGGGGCTTCGCCCCATGAACCCCACCCAGTATCGGCTCGGTCGCTACGCTCCCTCGCAACACAGTCACCAAACAAGCAGGTTGGCACTTCAACCTCAATACATTTTGGTTTTGGCACTTCTAATAAACTAGTTGAGAAGGCCTGGTGTAGGGGATCCGGATGAAGCGACCTTCAGGTTCAGATCGAGCGTTTCACATGTTGATGAGTGGTGCATGCCCAATATAATAAATGTGGCTCATTGACTTTGTGCTTGATTTGTGAATGTGGCGCATGCACTTCCTATTCTGCAATTAAGCCTTTAATTGTGCAGACTGTGGTAGATTCATGTCTCATGAGAAGAAGGGAATAATAAGTCATTACTAATTTGACTTTAAATTTATTGTGGATGTTGAAGGTGTATATGAAATATGAGTCTGTAGTCTTGACCCCAATGAATGTAGAGATCAGCAAGATTTGCATTAAAAATAAACAAATCTAAATAAATTATTTTAAACTGTTCCAAGTTTTTACTACCTGTCTCAGACAGACTAACAAAAACAAAGAAAGTTACATGATGTTTTTACTTCCAAGTTTTACAGTTTTACAGAAACTGCACGACCCAAAAATAGATTTTGAAAACCTACAATCTACATCGATAAGTACAGTAGCTATTTATTGATCATCAATTTCCTGACTTAAAAAACTCACAATTGAATGACTGATGTGAATGAAGATTGATTGAATAGGTATTGATGGTGCTCAGCCTTTGGGTGGGGGTATACTGGGGAATTTCAATTCTTCCAGTAAAATTTGCAAGTCATAATAGACTAGGCCTGTGGTGTACCATCCTGCGTGTGAGTCACAATCGAGATGGTGTTGTGCGGTAGGGTCCAGGGGATTTCCCTCTGAATCATGCATTGCCTTTCTCTTCATGCCGGACCATGTTATAAGGTAGAAATAAAACAGAATTGAACCAGTATTAAGAGAGCTCACAAGACTTATCTTTTTTCTGCCCATAGAATCATAGATATTTGCCTATCGATATGAATCAAACAATGTTTGCCTGTTTTATTCATATTTTTAATGTCGGTAGATCTATATAATAAAATATTTCCTTAACAACTGGTGAAAATTCCATTGCTTTCATGTACATGCATGTTGTTAGAAAATGTTCCTTCATGAAAGGAGTTAATATCATTTTTGATGTGTTGATCATGAAGTGTGTCCCTGACTTTTGAAATACATTCCATTAAATAATTTTCTGTTTTTATTGAATCAACAGGAAATAATTCAAAATGGCTGAATATTCGGCACGTACGGATAAGACCGTGTCAGACAGATATATGACCCTTGACACGGATGGCCATTGTCAGGTCATGTACATCTGGGTTGATGGCTCGGGAGAGAACCTAAGAGCCAAAACGAAAACGATGGATACGGTACCTGAAAAACCTGAAGGTAAGTTTACAAAGCCCCAATGTTGTAAAGAGTAAACATTCAAACCGATTGCAACTTGAAAACGGTCACAATTGATTTCACTATGATTTTGCAATAGTTCCAGATCAATGCCAACTCTATAAGGCAGTTTGATTGGAACACTTTTTAAAGATAAAGTTGAGTTCTGGTAAAAAAAAGAAAATGAATTCCCACAGAATCGAACAAAACTTACACTGAATGTTCAAGATTACAAATAAATGTCATTTGCCAAACAATTTTGGTAGAAAATGTATACTGGCTGAGTAATGATCATAGAAAGATGAGGAAATCAAGGTAGGTAACCCACACACCATTTGTGTAGTCCCATATACATCTTTCTGTGTATAGTGCTTGTAACTTTACCAAGACTGGGCCACAATTCTTATCATTTTTATGATTTCAGAACCTTGCAGATGTACTTACATGTATATATGCTAGATGATCAACCTTCTTTGATCGATTCCACACCGTTTCCTTTACAATGCAATCGCATGACCAGTACTCAACTATATCTTAAAGTTTTGATAAAGTTTAACATGAAAACAGTTAAGAGAAGGCTTCAGATTTTTAAAAGAATTCTTTATTTACTTATTACATTTGCTCAACTAGATAGACTCGGAGTAAAGATATAGTTGTCTAAAAAGTTTGCATAACATTTTGTTGACCTTTTATTCACATGATAAAAGCACAAATGTTGATCAGTTTTGAAGTACCCTTTGTCTCGGAAACAAGATATGGAGATGAGTGGAGTCCTTGATTGCGATAACCTACTTAAAATCATGTGTCGAGCAAACACTAATTAGCGATGTCAAGTAAAGGCCTTGGTATCAGAAAAAACATAACCTGGTAATATATCTGTTTAAGGTTGCACTGAAAAACAAGATACACGGCCCTAGGAAACCATCAAAATATTCACCTTTAGAAAGTTTGCTTCTCTGTTGCTGCTTAATTGCCAAATGCAGAAAGAGATTTCATGGATAAAAATGGAGGCTGATTTTATACACGCTTTTAATATACAGAGTGACAGTCTGATGTACCCAAACATGAATTATAATTAATTTTAATTTTTTTTTTTGGGGGGGGGGTGTGTTCATCCAATTTTTTTTCTTTTTTGATGGAAAATATTACAAGTATGCAGGCTTCATGAATATTACATGACCAAACAACACTTGTCAAACAAAAGGTAGTTCAATCAAATATTATTTTAAAATATCGTCAATCTATCGGAAAAACTAACAAGGAAGTGAAACACTTAATTGCTGGTGACGGATATTCCAGTATTTAATGTATTGCTTTTTATTGGAGCTTTTTTTTTCCTTTGGGCATTTACCCTGATATTTTTAAGCTGCATGTCATGTGTTTAACTTGTGTCATTACAGTTCGTGTTTGCAACTCTCCTTGTCCCTGTCAATGTTTGATTACCATTGAGGATACAGGGTTCATCTTTTGCTAATGAGGATAATTGACGTATATAAGAGTTTTATAAACGGCCGATAGTTTGCTATTGACAGCTCGATTGTCTTGTTTGATTAATGGTTCTAAATGTGATAACCTTTGAGATAAGGAAGGACTTAGAAAATCCATTGTCTTTAGTTTTTTATGTAAAGGGTATTCTTTGATTGTGGTACATGTAACTGCACTTTAAACTTCAAAATCTTTGTAATTTTTCAAAAATTAAACGTTAGGGCAATTGTTTTCAGCAAAACCCACACAAAAAGGAGAAGACAAAATTTACAGTTATGTCTAGGGCAGTTTGTCCCGCCAACTCATTAAAAGGCACCCGGAAGTTTTTAAAAATGAGCTACTGTTTTAGATTTCTGTCATGAATAAAATGGAATGAAATTTCGTAATAATAATTGACTTACTGTAGCCCCTTCAAATACAGATTGTGATTATTAAACCCCACATGTTTACACTTGAAGTGTTCTTGTTAATAGAAGGTTAGAATAGATTACTCTTTATATGTTGAATTGTAAGGCTGTAGTAAGGAGATCAAGGTAACTTAACAATCAAACACTGCCCTTGGTAAAAACATGTCTTTACAGTACACTAAGGGGACTGATTCCTTTACACAATGTTTATTCACACGTTGCAACCGAGTTTGACGCAAATTCAGTCATGCAGATAAATCGTTCATTATTTGTAACCATAGCAACCGAACAGGGTGTCACCTGGATTCAATATTGGTATTCCTTGCTCTACCCTAGTTTGTTTATTTAGTGCCAGATGGAAATATTGAATCTGCCATTTGTGTATTTTGGCTCTGAATAACATGTAAACCAAAGAAATGGTGATTGCAAAGCACCATCTGGATGTGCTTGTCTGTTTGCTTGCAATCATGCACATACTTGAAGAGTTGACAATTACTGATTTGTTGAGGGATGGTGGTAATACATCATTACTTATGACAAATATTTTCATATATAAATAATTCCCACACCTTCTCATAAAATAATGCACAAGTTAACCTATTTTATTTCAAAGCGGTATTGATGATTTTGTTGTGCCATGAGAAATCTTGATGCCACGAACAGTTTATGAAAAGGGAATGTATTGTTGATATATTACTGTACATATAAATACTAGTATAGTAGTGCTTACTCAACAGAATAATATGCAATACAAACCTCTAGCTTACAAAATTCATGATTTGTTTAAGTTTATTAAAAAAATATCATGCTGCTGCAAAATAATTGAATTACAATTTATGTTACAGTGACACTGAAGTTTTGCCATTAATACAATTTATTTTTCGTGGAAATGGTGGTCATGTACAATTTATGAAACCTTCTCCTTTACAGCCTGGTTTATGGCTTCATTTGCTCTAGCAATCCCTCATTTTATTAACTACATTCAGATTCAATTCAAGATAATTTATTGTCCAAAGAAATTCGTCCTCCACTGGCGAGTGACATAAATACAAGCAACATAAACCATATATTTGAGGATACAAAGAAAATACAACAATTATAATAACAATAATAGCAATAAAAAACTATTCTATGCTTCTTTTTTCTTGCTTTTCCCTCTTTAGACTGCCCTATATGGAACTTTGATGGATCGAGTACAGACCAGTCGGAAGGGTCCAACAGCGATATGTTCCTCAAACCTGCCGCTCTCTTCAGGGATCCATTCAGACGAGGAGATAACAAGCTCCTAATATGTGACGTCTACAAGTACGACTGGAGACCCGCTGGTGAGAATGACTCTTCTGATTGATTGATTGATAATTTATACTGTCATTTTCATTTAATGAAATATAATCCAATTTGAGCTCTGATTCGCCTCTTCTCCCCCCCCCCCCCCCCTTTTTTTTTTCTTTTCCTAATCAAATTCTGGTCATATTTTTATTATTTACAAGAAAAACATTTTGAAATTTGCCAATGTTCTCATGAAAAATTTAGAACAAAGTATGAAATGCCCGATCCCTGTTCAATGTTGAAAAGTTATCAGTTTCAAGGTTTATTGTTTAAAATAATTTGTTCTTTTTAATATGTTATCAATTTAATTACTGATTCTACATGTACTTAGCTGTGTGCCAGGAAGCTGAATATTGAGCCATTAAAATCCCCAAAATTTAGAAAAACATGATGAAAAAAGATGTGAAATTAAATTTTGATCGCCAACTAAACTAAACGCCAAATAAACTAAATCCCAAACAAATAGCAAAAATGAGGTGAAGTGCTAACATGCTAGTCCTTTTCTTTCCCTTTTGCAGAAACTAACTACAGGAAGACATGTAACGACGTCATGGACAGAGCTAAAGACACGCTACCCTGGTTTGGAATAGAACAGGAATATACCCTCCTAGGCAGTGACAAATGGCCCTTTGGCTGGCCCAAGGGCGGCTTCCCAGGACCACAAGGTAAGAGGAGCACTGAAAAATAAAGTCAAACCTGCTGTAGTGACCACCTGTCTACAAAGACCACATTTGTTTCCCTTGAATATGGTTTCTTTTGAAACATGTACTGAAGGAACCTGTCTACAAAGACCACTTTTTGTGGTTCCCTTGGCAGTCGCTATAGACAGGTTTGACTGTATATGTGAAGAGATATGAGGATTGGATTTCAATTCTGTAAAAGCAAGGCAATTTTTAACAAAATATGAGCTTATTGACAGTAAAAAAAATATATTTTCACAAAAACATCCTTGTGTGAAATTCACTTCCTGATGGTGCCTGATAATCCAATTGAAAAATAATCAATTGATGTCACACAAAATAGCAGAAATATTTGCTTTATACTTCATGGGTAGAGGCCAATAGTCAAACACACAAACTTTATATGCTTGGGTGAATTGTATTGTTATCTGCTTAAAGAGTCAAGGGGTACCCACTAGGCCTGTCCTCATCAGCTCGAGTTTGCCAAATAACCTGCCATTTCAATTATCCCGATCGCGTCTTCGTCAGCGGGATATTTGGTCAAGAAAATATCCAGAGAAATCTTGGTCTTGTTTCCAAAATATCCTGTTATTTGGGAAAGAGCGGGCTAATTTGCGCCCGCCCGTCTGAGCTAGTTTCTGATGAGTGCACCGGTCTGGTGAAGATGCAATTTTGAGCAATATCCCGAGTCTGAATATAGCGAGTTATTTGGCAAACTTGAGCTGATGGAGACAGGCCTATTGTGTTTTGTCCTTACAAAAAGGGGAAGTGGTGTGGTTCATGGGATTGGGATTTTCGGTAATCAGTACACACCCTCGTCCTTTAGTTGTATAAAATATTGTTAGCCTTGCCCCTTTTTCATGGTCAACAAAGTGTCAAAATTTTGGTTGGTTTATTTGTTATAAATTCTGTAAGATATTTTTCAAACTGCTTAGATAATATTTTCTCACTAGACCTATCAAAATCAAGTTTCAATATTCCTCCGATTGTTGAGAGCAATATTGTAATATTGAAATTCACAAAAGTGTCTTGCTTTGAAAATGGGGGAGTCATTCAAAAGCTTTCAGTTGTACGATTCTCACTCTGCTTCCAGCGGTGAGTGACACAGTGACTTTATGAATTTCCCTTTGCTGTTTTCATTTTGACAGGTCCATACTACTGTGGTGTGGGGGCTAACAACGTTTATGGTCGTGACATCGTAGAATCTCACTATCGTGCATGCCTGTATGCTGGAGTCATGATCGCAGGCTCAAACGCTGAAGTTATGCCAGCACAGTGGGAATACCAGGTACATTTGAGAATCTCTTTAAAAAAATATTATCTTCAGCTTACTTTTCATAGTTTGCAAATTTCATGAAGATTGATTTTTGCACATTCGATAAAAATCAATTGATTAGAGGAATATTTTTAAAAAATTTAAATTTAAAAGAAATTTAAAAAAAACAAGAAGAACAAACAGAAAATTGACTAGCTAAAATATTTTAGGTCAAAAGCCTAACAATCATCTGCACAAAATGCCATTAAAAAATTTGGAGAACTGCTCATTTACTTAACATGTGTGAAAGAAGACGTCGACATGCATCAATTTATGTAGTACTAAGCATTACTGCATGTCTCGTCGATCAGAAAAAAAAAATTTTTTTAAATAATTGTTTTTAATTCCTCCTCCCCTCCAGGTTGGACCTTGTTTAGGTATCGTGATGGGTGATCATCTATGGATGTCCCGATTCATCCTCCATCGAGTCTGTGAGGACTTTGGTGTCATCGCGACCCTTGACCCTAAACCCATGGAGGGAAATTGGAACGGAGCTGGTGCTCACTGTAACTTCAGCACCATTGCCATGCGTGAGCCAGGCGGCATCAAGTAAGAATTCATTTTTTGTTAAATATTTTTAGAATCTAGTTGATAAGATTTACTGAAGCCGCAGAACTAAAAAAAATGATGCATCTAAGAATAATCTGATTAGCATGGATGTTTTGGTTCCATACAAAGAATAGTGATGAAATATAGATTTTATTTGGTAATGATCTTAATTTCAAACTTTCATTCCTCATTTAGAAGAAATGGTGGACCTGAAACATGTTTTAGAATCTGTATATTTCTGTTTAACCCTATTTTAACTGGGCTAAACACTACAGGCAGACAACAGCTAGCCATGAATAACCAGAGAAGGAACACTGGAAGATCAAAGACTTTCTCTGCATTTCCTAAGGTCACAATGCCAATTATATTAGACAGTTAAATGCTGGTGCTCAAGAAGTAAAACTTGAGATAAAAGTCTTTAGATCAACAAGTCAGACAAAATATTGTTCAGTATCCCTGGTGCAAGTTTTATTTATATTTTATTTCTATTTTCCTCTCTGCAGACATATGAAGGAGGCCATTGAGAAGCTAGCCAAGCGACACAAGGAGCACATCCGCGCCTACGACCCCAAGAACGGAGAGGACAACGCCCGCAGGTTGACCGGCAGGCATGAAACCTCCAGTATCGATGACTTCTCATCCGGCGTGGCCAACCGCGGCGCCAGCATTAGGATACCCCGCCAGTGCGGCATCGACGGAATGGGCTACATGGAGGACCGAAGACCATCGTCTAATTGCGATCCTTACCGTGTTACCGAGGCTATCATTAGGACAACCGTGCTGGATGATTGGGAATCTTAAATCATCATTAGAGCTTTCTGTTTGTGTCGTTCCACTAAGCTCATGACAGTTTGTAAACCGTGGATGCATTTCTCCTTCCCCAAACCATTGTAGACAAATTTCGCAACACAAAAGTGGAGGCTTATTATATTTGGGATAAGGATGGTAAATGTCACATTGATATTATACCCGTTTCAAGAAAAGATAAGTTTTTGAGCCTGGGGGTGGGGGGGGGGGGGGGTGTTATGAGCCCAACTTGACCAAACTGCCATGATCATCATTCTGAAGGCCCTTTGCTAGGGGATGGAACATATCTTGAGAAAGGGGATTAATTCCTTTCAACAGAACACACTTTTTCATACTGCATCCACTTGTGTCGAGGAAGGGCATTTGTATCTCTGACCATCTTCTTAGAAAAAGAGGGAAACATATCTGCTGCTATGCAGTAGACAAGATTCAAATGGGCTTCTACAATATTTGAAGCATTTTGTATATCTTGACACGATAGGTGGTGTCGGTGTATTTAATTTGTGGCCGATATTGCTACTCTTTTTAACTCTTTGGAATGGATGTGAAATTTCAGATTTTGAGAATTGAATTATAATGTTTTATAGTCTTCCTACTTCAGCTGAGAAGACAACATATTGAAGGTTGTATTGCAAATGAAAAAAGTTTCCTTAATTTGCCAGTGAGATAACGAGGAGCATGAAATGAATGAGCGTCGATACAATCGTAACCTACTAGAAATGAGAATTTTACTGTTTTTATATTTGTTAAATACATCGGACCGCATTGGATTCTGATATCTAAAATCATCCAAATGAAAATAGACGGATTTTAATGTTTTTTAGACGGCGAGTCTTCTTACTTTGCATGTAACGTGATGTCTTGTTCACTTATTCTTCTGCATTGTGTGTGCTGATTATGTGGCAAGTTAAAGTGTCAAATTAATTTGCCTTCCGTTTCACACATACACAGTTCATAAGTAGCAAAGAATTTGATTGTGATTCTAAGCAAATACCCCAACAGTCTGATGATATGCTTCTTAAATATACGTACATCTGTTTTGAAATATAGTATTACCATTTTGATTATCTAAAATATCTTTGTAATGTATTGTTAAAAATTATTGTCTATATATTTTTCTATCTGTACAGAGCAAGTCTCCCGTGCTTCGTTCAAAAGTATATAATGAAAACCATTCTCTTTTGTACAATCTCATAGCATTATTTTATTAGATTGTGCTTTTCGGGATTTTTATTTTAAAAGCCATTGCGATATGTGTATATTTGTTAAATATTGGGTTATTTTCCTGGTATCTTTTTTTTTTTTTAAAGGAGGCACTAGTTGTGTATTAAAGATCCGATGAATCATGTTTAGTTTGCCCTTTTCAAACTTGTATTTCTATTGCTAATGTAGGGGTCACTTTTTAAGTTCAGCAAACAGGCATTTTTCCTTTTTTCATTAGATTTTTGTTCTTCTTCAATGAAAACAATTTCCAGTTACTTATTTAAATGTGTTGCACAAATGTTCCGTGTATGTTATTTCAATAAAGTTATCCTTATATATATGTACTAGAGATATTGTTTTTTTTGTTTGCTTTCTTTACTGGCTTGTACAAAGGCAATAATATATATATATATTATATATTTGTAAAAATGCAAAAGAAAAAGAAAATCAAACAGAAATGAATAAATCAAATCAATCAATCAATCGACAATAAAAGAATAACAGGTATTACGGTAAAGTACAAAGCACGAAGCAAGGTTTAGTGAATTCGCAGACAACAAAAATGGGATGGGGGAGGGCTGTAAGGATTTTTCATATAAAGGAAGAAGGAAGGGAGGGGTGTAATAATGAGTTGAGAGATGGAGGAGGGAGGGTGTAATGAGTTGAGAGAAAGGGGAGAGGGGGTAATAATCACCATCATTTATGAACATCAGCATTTTCCCTCTTACGAGAGGTTACCGACTTTAACACCACTTCTTCTTTTCTCGAGCATTCTCCTCATTTACGGCTTTCTTTCTTCACCAGTCTTCCTTACCCTCTTGTGCCATTTATTCATTCCCAGATCCCACGCTCTATTCAATAACTTATAAGAAAGATGTATAAGTAAAACACACAGAAGGAAATGTTTTCATGAAAATTTTATATAAATGAATTTACCAGAACTCTACAATGCCATCCATGAAAATTAAATATATTTACAATATTTTCACATCTGCTTCCATAATTTTTATATCATAAAAAACACATTACTTTTTTTTTTTAAATGAGATACTGTAAAGATCAACGTCTACATCAACACACACAAAATTGGCGCCTATTTCATGATACTTGTTATCAACTTGTTATCAATAACAAGTGTCAAATTTCGAAAACAAATATGGTATGCAACTATGCAATGATTTCAGTAGCTTAAAATAGTTACAGGTATCGCAACTTATTATTGATAACATGAAAGGGACCGCCTAGTCAGGATGCAACAAAAATCTGTTAGTAAAAATAAAATTGCTATTTAGCATCAATTGGTGAGCAACACAAATACATAGCTTATTTTGTTGTTATACATGACCAACCTTAATCTGAAAATCAAATTCTGTGTCACAGTGGTGCTGACAGCTTATTAAAATGACAGAAAACAGTTTCATTATGCAAGCACAATGCCGAATTAAAATAGGCAGCTAAATAATTTCTCATTAATTGAAATGACGAGAAGTCATAGTATAAGCTACTTGTATTCCCTGAATACAAATGCATTAGATCAATCAAACATCTATGGTTCTGTATAGAATTGCATTCTGAGTGATGCTTACATACAATGTCATATAAAAAGATTCAAGAATAATACACAACTAAATTGTGTTTTCAAACATATATATGCCTTTTCAATCTGAATATCGAATTCCTTTTCACGCAAGATGATGCGGACACACATGAAATGACACAGAAAACTATTTCCATCATATACAACTACAAGCACAATACCAATGCTGATTTTGGAAGAACCAACTCGGAGGGAACCCAGAATATGCAAAATTCCTACACCGTGAATACAAAGGTTAGAATTTCACTAAGTCATCTAAACGAGATGCTTGGTCTAAGTTATGTTTGAAAATAGGAAAACTTAGAGGGCGTTCTAAATTTCTTGAATAATACACAAATTTAAACCCTAGGTCCAATTTAAATTTTAGCAGAATATGAGCTATTATGTCTCACATCAGAAGACTCCCTATAATTTTCTAATTCATCCGCATGACCTGAATTATACATGTATACAAGCATGTGAGGCCCTGAGTTATTCCTGATTTGGTTTAGCAAAATATTCTTGACATAAAAAGCATTCTTGACACAAAAAATTTCTTACAAGAGAATATGATGATCGTCATGCTAATCTACATACACAGAGATGCCAACCCTCCCGATTTCATCGGGAGGCTCCCGATAATTCACCCCAACTCCCGACCTTACGATCACCATCCTTATCCTCCCGATTTATTATAAAAAATTAAAAAAATGATTTTTTTTTTTTTTTTTTTTTTTTTTTTTTTTTTTTTTTTTTTTTTTTTTTTTTTTTTTTTTTTTTTTGGCGCTTATCAGTATATATATCTGTGAATTGAATGAGAAATATCGTCTGTTAACTTTAGCATGTAGTAAATCCACTATATTAAAAGACAAATTAAGAGTAGCGAAAGATTGTTTCAGCATATGGATCGCCGTAACCAATGCGTGGATATTGACACAGAATCCAAATGGCGGAAAATCAGCTAAAGAAGACCAAGAAATGGTATCAGAAGTATAAGACCGAACACTGTATCATATATATGAAAGGAATTCATCATGCATTTTGTACAATTTGTATGTTATTTTAAAAAAAAGTGGGAATTATTGAACTAAATACACATGTAAAATGCTGCAAAATAAGGCTCAGATTGCACCAGAGAGCATCTAGAACCCCAGAGCTTCCAGGGCCCTAAGGCGGGCCCTGGACCCCGGCCGCATGGGTCGGGCGCTACGCGCTCGAGATGTGCGCTACGCGCACATTATTTGGTGTCCGTTACAAATCCTCCCTATTTATGTTTTCCAAAAGTTGGCATCTCTGCATACAAGGTGGTGCCGCAACAAACTGAAATTTTAATGAAGGCTAACAGTCTGATATCTATAAACACATTTGAAATATAACTTAGGTATATTCTGGATTTTTTTTGTATTTACAAACATGTATTTATTTCTTGTTAATAAACATATCTTGAACTCACTTCACAATTTTAAGTGACATAAAAAGGACATAAACAGAACATACGTACTCAAGATAATAATTGCATTTACATGTAAAATATACAATAGAGAAACACAGACCCTCAACTCCTAGCCACTTTCTTTTGCAGCTTTAAGTAGATTACTATTGATGGAGAGAGGAGAAAGACAGTGAACTACTCATTATTAGGAATAGTGTCAATTGTCCAACAAACTGGCATTTTGTAGTCCAAACGGTTCTCATGTATCAGGTTCTAGATTGTGAGACTGTTTAGAAACATTATACTTATATTATTTATTGGCAAAAAATGTCACACTCAGAGTCGTGGACTTTTAGGTCTCATTCACTTATAACAAAGTAACATGCCTTTAAAAAAAAAAGGGAAAATCCAATGACACAATTGTGATCTGCAAGTTCATATTTCTGTACCTCAGAAGACATATATTACTAATTACTTAAAGGGATTTGTTGAATGCAGCTATTTTTTCACCCCACTTGCCATTCATGTGCAGTAAAACCTGTCTAGAAGTGGTCTTGATAGGCAGGTGGTCTCATGTACAGGTTAATTTAGAACATGTTTCAATGAGAAACCATTTTCAAGGGAAACAAAAAAAGGTCTTTATAGACAGGTGATATTTCTATACAGGCGGTCACTACAGCAGGTTTGACTGTATAAGCGAAAAGGTTTGCATTGTATTGCTTAGATAGAGATGGGTTGATTGCCATGTCACATGTAGGAGGCTGTAGCATCTGTGACCCGTTTCACAAAACCTTTTTTCAATGACAATTGACTAAAATCAGTAACAAATCTGCTGATAACCAATCAGAAGCAAGGATTTCCGTAGCTTATAACACAAAAACTGTCATTTGTCACTGATGACAAGTTTCATGAAACACCTTCCTGGTCTTCGAATGGCTTTCTCACTGTGTGGTGCATTCTTTGGGGTTGTCCTCTGGCTCCTCCGCTCTGTTGGTCTTTAACATCTCAAACATCCTCTCATTCAATGTTCCTTGGTAGGGGGGCTGGCCAGCCCTCCTCTTAACGCTTGGGGATGATGCCGCCCCCTCTAAGGCACTCCTCGCAATCCCAGGGTGCTCTGTATTGCAATCTACATCGGCAAAATACAAGAAAAAAGCAACACAGAAATTTAGACCCTCAACTACATGTAAGCTTCCATAATTCAAATGGGCTCTTCCACAGATATTGCTATCAAAAGGTACTAAAAGACTGCAATGTGTTATCAAAATTCTGATTTCATTCAAAATTTCACCAGTCTTACTCTCTGATTTTTCTGTTGTCGTTGTTGTTGTTTGAGTTTTATTGGCGTGTATCATTCATTTATGAATATTTACGCCACTTTCTGCTTTCTTCCAGAGTAGTTTGCTATCAAGGTTGGATTTCCCTTTAATATGTAATTATCATTACTTAATAACAATTCACAAAGATTAAATACATTTTCTTTGTATAAAGGTTCTAAAGGTACTAAAAGACTGCACTGTGTCATCAAAAATCTGATTTCATTCAAACTTTCGCCAGTCTAACTCTCTGATTTTCCGATTTCCTCCAGAGTAGTTTGCTATCAAGGTTGGATTTCCATTTAATATGTATTTATCATTACTTGATATCAATATTCACAAAGATTAAATACACTTTTTCGATATAAAGGTTCAGTTGTTTTTAATCAAAGTTTACCTTTCAGAGGGTGGGAAGCTCGCAACTCTTTGGTTTTCTGTTCAGCAAGGCTCTTCAGTTTGTCATATTTTCCTTGCCAGTAGTAAACTTCTTGCTTTAATTTGGAGTTCCTATCCCTGTGGAATACATAAAGAACAACAAACAAGTGTTTCTGTGAAACGGTATCTTCAAGATATGGGACATGAGAGCGTTGAATTAGAATCAAGAAGATGGCAACAAGCGTGTTAAGTCTGGGAACTAATTAAGTTCAATGTTAATTTTTGTGAACTGTATAAGTTTATCGCAAAAATGATTGAAAAAAAATGAAAACAAGAGTAATTACTTGAAATTTTAAAACATATTGGTTAGTGTGTTCAAAGTAAAAATTTATCTTCTTTTTATTGATTTAAAAAATATGATTGATTTTTTAATCAATCTATTTTCTCATTATTATTATTAATATTTTCTTTCAAAGTGACTCAGTAACATTGCCTCAGATTCTGAAACAAAATCTGGATTTAGCTGATGCTGCAATCATAATTATAAACCTTTATATCAGTCAGGAATCCTGTGACTTTTACAAGCCGATCGCCTGTCTGATTATCAAGATATTATGATTGGAAATTGAAATTTAATTTTTCGTTTTCCTAACGTTTTTGATAATAGTTCAGTCTATTGGGGAAAATGAGTATGGTAAACCTGTCACTCAAAGATTTTTACTTTCATGAGGCACTTCATAACCATTTTGGAGTGCATTTTTTGTTGGCTTCAATACTACACCATATCATGGACACTGATAACACATAGGGCCGTGCATCTCACATTAAACATTGTTAAACGATCCATTTAAAATAATTATTTTGCATCTTGAGAACAAAACAATACAGAATTTGGTTTGGTAAGTACTTACACTTGCTCATCTCGCTGGGTCTTCAGGGTCTCGTACTTCTTTTGTGCCAGCTTCAGGTTCTTTCCAATCGACTCGTTTTCAGCGCGGAGAGAGAAGACGGAGACATCGTACGATGCTCCCGATCCACAAATGCCAGCTTCGGGATAATTTCCTGTGGAAAGAACTGCATATGTATCGAGAATGAATAATCAAAATTTGAAACGAGTGGTCTTTCCAGACAGATGAAAGGTGAAGCAGGTTTGAGTAGGTTAATCACTTTATACTACTGAAATATGTATGAGTCAAGGTTCAGCATTAATAGCACAGTCAATATATACATAACAAAAAACTGACTGATGTGAAAAACATGTCAACAACAAATTATTATTTTGTTCAATTTCTTCTTTTCTGACCGGGGTAATAGCATATTTGTAAAGCGCTTAGAGACACTTGTATTAAGCGCTATATAAAAATTAAATATTATTATTATTATTATTATATTTATAACGCCATCATCTTGCAAACAGCAAATAGCAATTACCTGAACTATCTGCTGCCCTCTGGTGTTCCCGTCTCAGCTCATTTCGGTATTCTCTGTTCTTCTCATCCAGGAATTTCTTCTCACTGTCGAGATCTCTTATTCTGAGACAAAAAGGAAAATTGAGATAAGTTTTTCTTTCGTCATACAGGAAGATATTCAAGAAAATTAGCAGTAAAATTTTAAATCATTCAGGCAAAAGATCATTACATAATTTTACAGAAGAATGCAGGATGATTTAAAGGCCATCTGTACTAGTTTGGCTAGGAGGGATTAGACCACCGAGGGTTGTCACTGACAGGTGGCTATCTCATCAACTCAGCTCTCAATTAACATAAGAAAAAGAGGATCATGGGGGACCAATGGTCACCGATTAGGCATTGTTTGCTATATAGAGGGTGCAAGTAGCTATAAAAAAGTGCAGTGGCGCTTTAAAACAAATCATGAGAATAACTAATTTACAAGATTTGATAAAGTGAAGAAAAAATGTATACCTTTCCTCTAGCTTGAGTATTTCTCTAGTATGCTCCATCTCTAAGACTGTCATCTCCCTCTTCTTGGCAGACAGCTCCGACTCTAGGGACCGTCGGGTGGTGGGATCGCCCCCCTTAGACTGCGTGAGTTGAGATTGCAGCTTGGCCTCCAGCTCACAGATGTGCTTGGCTTGGCATTCCTAAGGGACAATAATATGGGGAGGTTAAAATTACAATGATATTAATTTTGATTTATGTACAGCTTATAGTTTGAAGCTCTGGATACAAGGGGTGGGTGGTGATATCGCAAAACCGCAACATTTTTTAAAAATAGTGATTTTAAGTGTACCATACTTCATATTTCTGTGTATTATAACACAGAGCTCAGTGAAAACGTGCAGGGCCTTCGTTGCGCACAGTTTCCATCTATATACACATACAAAAGTGGCTTTCTTTTGCAGCAGTTTACAAGGGGGGTGTTTCACAAAGATCCTAAGTTGAACTTAACTCTAAGTTGGACTTAAAAATTATGGAAAGCCATTTGTAGCCTTAAAATAAAATATATTAAAAAGCGAAAAATCAAGTATTTCAGACTTTTTATAAATTCCACATCAAGAATATGAAATCTCCTGGATAATAGAAAATATGAATGATTTGAATCTTTATGCCTTCTAAAATAACTTTTACAAAATATTTTCATAGATGCTAATTACAGCTTTCCATAATTGTGAAGCCCAACTTACAGATAAGTTCAAATTAGGATCTTTGTGAAACACCCCCCAGGTCATATTTGGACGAGCCTGACGGGATTCCGATCGACCTACCACTTTCTCTTGGGCATCCTTGACCTTGGTCTTCTCTGCCTCTAGCTCTTCTTCCAGCTCTTCACAGACAGCGTTTGCTCTCGCCTCCGCCTCGCCCACATCACGGATGGAACTCTGCACAGTCTGGTTCACCTGCTTCTTCATCTTGGCGTACTGTTTCTCCAACATCTCCTGATAATCACAAAGGTTAAAGATAAAGTTGAGTTCTGGTCATGCGATTGCATTGTGAAAGAAAAGGTGTGGAATCTATCAGAAAAAGTTGATCATGTAGCATGTAAGTATTGGGGTGTTCTGCAAGGTTCTGGAGTCATCAAAATCATAATAAATTTGGCCCAGTCTAAAGTGACTGTACACAGAAAGATTGATGTACTGTATATGGGACTACACAAATGGTGTTGGGCCTACTTACATGTACCTTGATTTCTGTATCTTTCTATGCTCATTACTCATTTTTCCACCAAAATTGTTTGGCAAATGACATTTATTTGTAATCTTGAACATTCAGCGAAGTTTTGTTTAATTCTGTAATAAAAATCATTTTCTTTTTTTACCAGAACTCAAGTTTATCTTTAATGAATCAAATTATATTCACTGGTAGGAATACTTGCATCATAATTAAAGCAAAAAGCCATTCTTTGAATCTACATCTTCATCAGAATTCCAATGTACTTGTTTGCATAAAAGTTGCCATCATTTTTTTCCTTTTTAATACCAGAAATATCTTCTTAATTGAATATTAGTTGAATAAAAATCTAATTTCATTTCACAACCTTAACAAAATATATGATAAGCCTACCCGTATCTTAGGAAGGCTTACTTACATCTAAATTTTGCATCGAAACGGAGAAGGCGGCTAAAAGATGGGGGGGGGGGGGGCATGGGGAGGGAAGAATGACCCTTTATAGAAGCTTTTGATTAGAAAAATAAAGAATATATGAGGAAAGTTGAGTTACCTTTTTGTTGAATATATCCCTCTTGTCTTCTTTCACTCTGTCAATCTCTTCATCTTTGGCTTTGAGTTCCTCCTTTAACTCCTCGCATAAAACTTCAAATTGCGACTGTTGAGGGGAAGAAAAACAGATAAAGAAAGAAAAAAAAAATATATAATATTAATTAAAATAATAAAATTCTTTCTTCAATTCAACCTGGATACTTCCATATACAGTATGTAATTAGTGAATATTTTAATGCTAACATTTATGTGAACATCAAATTGGAAAATTGGTCATTCAAACGTGATGTAATTTGGGACAATTAGGTCTCCCATTTGTTTGGCAAAAAAACATTGAAGAATTCAAATTTCCTTCTAAACTTTACCCTCAAGGCTGTACTGAATTTAAATGGCCAACATTTTTTTTACACAGTCTCTGTCCATCAATTGGTATCAGTGATATGTAGCAACAACAAAACATGGATGTTGCCAATTTAAAGAAGAATACCTGATTATCGTAACAAGAAAATTAATGTCTAAATATCAGGATCCCGTCTTATAAAGAATTGCCATTGGTTTCAACTTCATACCAGCTGCAAAAATGTTCTGATGAAATTGGATGTTGTAAATTTGTAATTACAGGTTTTGGAGGGCTTGCAATCAATTCAGATTAGTTGAATCTCTGTGAAAGGATAAGGCCCAGACCTACCAATTTTTCCTTGGTCTCCGACAGTTTGGCCTGTTCCTCATCAAGCTTTTCTTGTATTTCACCACAAATGGTGTTAGCTCTCTCCTCCCAGTCTTGGACATTCTTGAAGGACTCGATTCTGACTCTCTTCACCTCGTCCTTGCGCTTCTTGACCTCTTTTTCTAAAGACTCCTTTAAAGGGACAAAACCAACAGAAGAAATATGTGTAAATGTAGATAAATGGAGTCAACTGCTTCATTACTATTTCTTTAAGGGGTCAAATATAGAACAAAGGAAATGATAAAGCAACGTTTTGTAGCATCTTTGAAATCCCTGACATCTCTCATGGCTTGAATTCAAACTCTCTTCACTTCAACTGTGCACCTTTTTCTTGAAAGATTCTCAGTTCCCCCCCCCCCCCATTTCCTTCTTTGTAATGGCTATTGAAGATGTTCATCTTGTTACCTGTTTTTCTTCTGCTTTCCTGAGAGCCACCTCTAACCTTTCTTTCTCTCTTTCAGATTCCTCCATGGCTGTTCTCAACTCCTCACATACTCCCTGTAGTCTGTGTTCAGAGAATTGATGAGATTGCACCTGGGCAAAGCAAACAAATTAATGGTCAGATTTTATCATCTCTGAAGAAAGTTCCTTCCAGTAGAAGAATTAAGTGACTTGGTATTAAACATTGCCTCAGATTCTGAAACAAAATCCTGGATTTAGCTCATGCTGCAATCATAATTATGAGCCTTTAGGTCAGTCAGGAACCCCGAGACGTTTACAAGCCGATCGCCTGTCTGATTATCAAGATACATGTATTTATGATTGGAAAACAAAATTTCCGTTTTCGTTTTCCTTACGGTTTTGATAACAATTCAGTCTATTGGGAAAAATGAGTATGGTAAAACCGGTCACTCAAAGATTTTTACTTGTTTGAGGCACTTCATAATCATTTTGAAGCACAATTTTTTAGGGCTTCAATCTACACCATATGACAGACACTGATAACACGTAGGGCCGTGCATCTCAAATTTAACATTGTTAAAGGATGCCTTTAAGACACTATTGTAAAAAGTAGAGCTTTTGTGAAATGAAACTTTCGCGAGTGGCATTGAATTAATCAAGTTTGAACAAATTAATTATACCTGTTTTTCTTCCGCGTTCCAGAGAGCGGCTTCTAACCTCTGTTTCTCTCTCTCTGATTCCTGCATGGCTGTTCTCAACTCCTCACACACTACCTGCCAACTGGTTTCACATTCCTGTCTTATCTGCTCCTGTATAAACATAAATATAAAGACGTCAACTTCATATCGTAATCAAATATGCCATAATGTTCTTGTTCTTTTTGTTTCAGCTATCTCAAGGATTTTGTGCGCTCCCTATTTCGTGCTTGATCTCTACAATTTTCCTTTTTTCTCCTCTCCTTTCCTCCAAACGCAGCCTACATTTTCTTTTTTCTTTTTTTTTCTGTTCCTTCTTCGTCATACAATTTTTTAGGTCTTCTTGTTTTCAGTCATTACGTGTTTTAATAAATGTTGTCTCTGTTGGCCGCTATTCTCCTTGTATCGTTTATGTATTCTATACTCTTTTTACACTCATTATTATCTGAGGGGTCTACAATTTACAAGCTCTGCTTTTTAGTGGACCTCTCCATTTCCTTAAAATATAAATGGAGTTAAATTTATAATTCGTTTTTTGTCTTCATCAAAATGTATAAATTATTGTTAAGATTTGTTTATTTCAAATGTAATTATGTTTTGTAAACATTTTACATTGTATTTGTTATTATGTATTGTATTTTGTTGGAAATGAAAAATAAAAATGAAATAAAATATCAATTCTACACAATTACCTGATGTATTAAATGAAAAATACAAGAGAATGTTTTGTTATTTTCTTTAATATCTGCAAGTTTTTCTTTATGAATACTTTATTGCCACAATAGTTCCCATCTCTTAGGCTGTAAATATTTAAAACTTCATAATATACACATGAATTCCATGCAGTGCCCATCAAATAACATTTGAAAAGGGCCATCATTCTGTCTTTGCAAGTTGTTTCTACACGGCCCAAACATGCATCTCCCTTTTTGTTCACCTTTAAAAGACAAGCAAATAGTTCAAATCAGAAAGAGGAAAGTACGAACCTTTACCAGCTTGCTCTCACCCTCTAGCTGCTGAAGAAGATTATGTAACCGTTTGGTTTCATGGCGTGATTGGGCCTAAAAACATTAACAAAAGAAAGCGGAATGATCAAACATGTCTGTTATTGTAAAATGTTAAAGGTGAAGTCCATTCAGACATCACACAGGTTTGATAAAGGAAGAAAAATAGGAGAAATAGATCTGTGAAAGTTTATGGAAAATAAGATAAAAGATAGGAAAATTCAAAACATTGCAAATGTGATTGATAAAACATTAATTGGCAACGCTGTGAATACCCGCTACAAATATTCCCAGCAGCCCAGCAACTCTCTATTTGTTTTGTCCTAGGAATTTCTCACAAAGAACATATTATCTCATTCCTGTGCCCAAGATCTATCAATGAAACCATGTTTTCACTCACCCCCCTCCCCTCTGTGAAATGAAAACATATCCCTTCACCCAGGGCTTGCACCGAAGACCTTCATATCCTTAGTCCTGCTTTTAAACCACTTGACAAAGTCAAATCCTACACGTACATGTAATAATAATAATAATAAAACTATATTACCTCCTGCTTAATTGCTTCTTCGTTCTCCAGTTTCATGAACTCTTGAAGTTTCTCGATCTCGTCTTCTTTCTGAGAGAGCAGGTTCTTTGCTGAATCAAGTTCCACCATCCTAGTGCAAGAAATAGATAAAGATTACATCAGGATTCCGAGAAAGTCATGATAACAAAATCCCATGATTCTTCCCTGAAGAAGATTCAAAATGCTAGGATTCCAAAAGGAGGCATCTAAAAAGCCATCAGAGCCAACCATCATGTGGATATGCTGTTTAAACTCTAAACAAAATAATATCAACAATTTCTTTCTAATTGGCCAATGAAATTTCCTGAATTCTCCCTTAATTGACTGATCCATCTAAAATTCCATGATTTTTCCTCGTCTAAAAAAGGGGGAACTTATTGTACAGGTTTCCAATGGCTTTCAGGATAGCTGTCAATTCTGACACAGTGTACCTCAGTGAAAAGAGAAATGGAATTAGAATAGCCTGGCACTTAAGGACCAACTCAGTGTATCTTTATCAGTCAAATATTATCACAAAATGAGGATTTGTGCAAAGAAATAAACCACTTTTATCATATCGAGGGTTCAGTGACACAAAGACGTAACTCCATATTTTGCCAAAATGAGTATTTGAACATCAAAATGTTCAGAAAAATTAGGGCTTTCCAGGAAACACAAAGACTTAACTCCACCAAACACCCAATTGAAGTCAATGGCTAGTGAAACATAGACTTAACTCCTTAAAACCCAAATGCTCAGTGACACATTAACTACTTTTTCTCAAAATGGAGTTACGTCTTTGTGTCACTGACCCCTCGATATGTACCAATGTTAATTGTTTTGGTGACAGCAGGTTAAGTTGGAATGGTATATAATGACAAACATATAACTCACAGTTCCTCCATTTCTTGTCGTTGATGGCCTAAGGCTGATTCTCGTCCTTCCGCCAATCTAGATTCCATCATCTCCATCTCTTCCTTCAGAAGACGGGTTTCTGAGATGGAATCACAGAGCTCCAGCTCTGCCTTCACCAAGGCTGCCTCAACTCTCGTCTTCTCCGCCTCAAGACTTCTCAGCTCGGCGGTGATTCTCTCCTTTTAAAGATCATGAAAATACTAGTTTGTTAAAGGAGCAGTAGTATTCAAGTTTTAAGTTTATTTATTTCACTTTATCAAAGATAACATAATTGAACATAATGAACAATGGTAATTATCATAACTAAACATACATTATAGAAAACATAATGTACATGATAATAGTTATAACAGAGAATACAATCATATAAATCAATCAATAAGGTCTTCTTTTCTCCAGATTTCATAGCTTAGCTGAAACTTTCTCCTTGCAAAAATTATCACCCCAATTCGTTTTCATACCATTTACTTTGAACAGCTGCTCTACAAGGCCTTTAAACTTATCCAATGATACGTATATAGCACCATTCCTTTTACAATATATCAAAACATTTTTTTATAGACATTGTTTCACAGGCTACTTGATTTAATTATAATTCTGCACTTCCAGAGCATACCTTTCACTCCTCTGTGAAGTATTCCAGGCAATTGCTGGTGAGCCAATGCTAATTAAAACCAAAGTGACATTTGCATCCTGGCTAAACCGGTTCCCATTTAAAGACCTGCGTAGAGAGAGTCAAGTTACTTACAATGCCTTGCTCATTTTCATCAAGATAGAAATGAAAGAATATGGCTCTCACCTCACGCTCTCTACTCTCCTCTTCAAGGCATTGCTGAAGTTCTTCCAGTCTTCCCATTTCATGGCTAGACTGGGCCTGGATTGGAGGGAAAATAGTTATTCATTTTTATGAAGGATTGAACGACAAATGCAGTTAACCCATTGTCTAATGAATTCTGTAATTCCCATTGACTAAACATGGGGACCACTCTGTTTCAAGCTTAGTTCGATGGCATTTAATGTCAGACGACAAAGGATAGTACAGTCAGATTGGTATAGTAACGAGAGAGTGGCTTTTAATACTGATGGAGCCATCTGGCGCCCTCTTTTGATTGAAGCTTTACATGTGTTCTTCTAAAATCTCAGAAACAATATTGACACATCCTCCCCTCTTTGAGCTTTGTGCCGGAGAATGTCTCAATTTTGGAGGTCAATATCAACCTGGTACCAAAACAGATAAAGATTGGTTTATGAGATCTTTTACAATCATATAACTGCACAAAATAATATTTCAAAGCAAAAAATATCAGAGTCCTTTTGAGTTCTTGTGAGTCTTCATAGTGTCAGAAGATTTGGGATTGTGTTTAGAGTCCAGTTTCTTCAAATTTTAAAAACAAGTTCAAATGTCCAAACAGAGTTAGATGAAGTGATGTCATTCACGTATCTCGCGAATGTTCTCTTTTTAAGTGTTCAAAATGTTACGAAATCTTTCATCTTATGCGGTTCTCGACGTTGTCTGTTTGAACGTCTCAGCGAGCTTGTGTTGTTCTCGTCAAACGTCTCAGATGTACCATCACCGCGAAACTTCACAGGACTTGTAGTGGTAGATTGACGCTGCTCTGTAGTCCTCACCTTGGGTTGGTTATTGTCCTGGCATTCCCAGTTAAACATGTTGGGAATAGGATCAAGTGTATCTGACGTGGATGAGGTCGCTCTGAGATGTTCTCTGTTTCTACGAAGTGTTTGACCATCACAGCGAACTTCATATGATCGATCGTCTATTTTCTTCAGGATCACCGCTTTCTTCCATTTCTTTCTATGGTTGAATGGTTTCACACGTACAGTTGCTCCAAGTGGAAGATCCTTGAGCTTCCTTGTATTTCTGTTGAAATACTTCTCCTGTCGTCTCTGGTTTGAATTGAGTTTCTCGACATCAGGTCCTGAGTCACGATCAGGCATCAACAGCTGAGTTGTGGTGGGTAGGAGTGTACGTGTTCGTCTACCCATGAACCTTTGCGCAGGACTGGTCTGGGTACCTTGAGTTGGTGTATTACGAACGTTGAGTAAGGCTAGATCAACGTTATCTCCAGTGTCCTTGCATTTGGTAAGCAGTCTTTTGGCAGTCTTAACAGCAGACTCTGCCTTGCCATTTGCCTTGCTGTTGTGAGGTGAGATGGTGTTATGCTTGATTCCCATCTCTTTGGCAAACTCAGCAAAGTCCCTTGAAGAGAAAGGAGGTCCATTGTCTGAGACAATGATCTCTGGCACTCCATAGCGTCCGATGTGACGTTTCAGTCGCTTGATAACTGCGGGGGCAGTCGTCCTCTGTAGCTTTTCTATCTCAAAGAACTTGGAGTAGTAACAGACCATAATGAGATAGTTCTCGTTATCATGATGGAAGAGATCGATTCCAATTCTTGACCATGGCCTGTCAGAGATAGGATGAGACATCAAAGGTTGGGCAGGTTGAGAGACTGAGTTTTCTTGACAGGTCCCGCATGTCTGGATCCACTCCTTTATCTCCTTGTTCATACCTGGCCAATAGACATATTCACGGGCTCTTCTCAAAGTTCCTTCGACTCCATTGTGGCCAATGTGTAACTCCTCCTTGATCTGTCGCCTCATCTGCTTAGGGATTACCAGCCGTTCTCCCTTGAAAATCAGATCATCAGTCACCGAAAGTTCATCTCTGAAACTGAAGTATGGAGTCAGTGACAAAGGAAGCTTTGTCTTGTTGTCTGGCCACCCATCAAGTATGGTGTCTTTGAGCTGGGAGAGAGTTGGATCTTGGGTAGTCTGTCTCTTTATCTCAGCTATCTTGTCATCAGGGAGAGACAAGAGTTTGACAGCATTCACCACCTCTAGATCATGCTGTCCGCTCTCATACGGAAGAGAAGCACGGCTTAGTGCATCAGCCAAGATGTTGTCCTTCCCTTTAAGGTATTTCACTTCAACATCATACGCCATGGCGCGTAGTAACATTCCTTGTAGGCGTTTGGGAGCTTTGTCCAGGGCCTTCTTCACAATGCACTCCAGTGGTTTGTGGTCACTATATACTGTTGTATTACGACCAAAAGTGAACTGATTCCACTTTTCCAGTGCAAAAACTATTGCTAGCATCTCCTTCTCAATGACAGAGTATCTGGTCTCAGGATCACTCAGCATCCTACTGGCATATGCTATTGGTTGACCATCCTGTAGCATCACAGCACCTAACCCTGTAGCACTGGCATCAGTTTGGATTTGAAGTGGCTTGCTTTGGTTGTAGAACGCCAACACAGGAGCTTGTATCAGCATCTCTTTCAGCAACCTAAAGGCTTTGTCATGGTTGGAGTCCCAAGTCCACGCAGAGTTGTTGTGGGTTAAGTCATTGAGAGGCTTCATGACATCAGATAGTTTGGGCAGATACCTGGCCAAATAATTGACCATGCCACGTAAGCGATGGATGTCATCCTTGCAGGTTGGAGAACTCATGTTCAGGATTGCATCGATCTTGGATGGATCAGCTTTCAGTCCAGAGTTGGATACTATGTGGCCTAGGAACGAGATTTCCTTCAGTCGAAATTGGCATTTCTCCTTGTTCAACACTATGCCAACAGTTTGACATCTCTGTAGAAGACTCTGTAGTCGGGTATCATGCTCAGCATCACTGTTACCCCAGATTATGATGTCATCTGCCACACATCGTACCCCTTGAAGACCATCCAGTGCTAGATGAAGTCTCTTTTGGAAGATTTCGCTGCTAACCTTCAAGCCAAATGGTAGACGTTTCCATTTATACCTTCCCCATGGTGTTGCAAAGGTAGTTAGCAGACTTGAGTCGTCGTCAAGAACACAGTGCAAATATCCATCTTTAAGATCACAGATGGAGAAGACCGTTGCATTGGACAGTTGAGGCAGGATATCATCGAGAACAGGCAGAGGATAATGTTCTCTTTTCAGCACGAGATTGAGTGGTCTAGGGTCTAAGCACACACGCACTTTACCAGATTTCTTCTGTACAACAGCCATCTGGCTTACCCAGTCAGTTGGAGAACTTACTTCCTCAATCAGGTCTCTTGTCTGCAGTGCATCAAGTTCATCCTTCACAATACTTCTCAAGGATTCTGGTATCACTCTAGCAGGACGAACACTAGGGGTAGCATCATCCATAACAGTCAGATGAACATCGTTCCCCGGCAGAGTACCAGTCACAGAGGATGAGAAGACCACAGGATACTCTTTGTGAAGATTCTCAGGAGCTAGGTTGCAGACATTCTCAGGAAATATGTTGTGGACTATTTCCATAGATTCGTAGTGAACAGTGATAAGCTGCATCTTCTCAGAAGCTGTTTTGCTTAGCAGTGGAGTCAGATCCTCCTTAACTATGACATAGTCAATCCTGTACTTTTTTCCAGTAGCTGGATTCCTTGTCACGACTTTGCACTTTCCCACAGCACGTAGTAGCGGAGAGTGGTTCCACATCCGGAGATGGATGCATTCATTTCTCACTACATCTTCTTCAGACAGAAACTTCTGTGGGAGAACACTCACTGTTGCTCCAGAGTCCAACTGGAACTGTACTCTTCGACCATTTAGTAGCATGTTGCAAAAAATTGGTCCATCTTCAGGGCTTACTGTATTTATCTGTACAACACTGATACTTTCAGTGGAGGAGTACTCATCATCTTCGAGTTGGTGAACACTCTTGGAAGTACACACTGCAGATCCCTTGAAGTGATTGGGCTTATGGCACACATTGCACTTTTGACCCCATGCAGGGCAGCATTCCTTCTTCATTTCGTGTGATTTATTACAGAACTTGCACTTTTTGAGCTCTTTCGGCTTCTGCTTTACAAACTTCTGCTTTCCACTTCCAGTTTTAGCATGTTTAGGGAAAGGTTTTCGATTCACCCTGTTGATTTCCTCACTTTTCAACGCCTTCATGTGAGTAGACGTCGCTTCAACTGCTTTACAAACATCAATGGCAGTAGAGAGGTCAAGATCAGATTTGGAGATGAGTAGTTCTCGCATACGATCATCACGTACTCCCAGTAGAACACGATCAACGAGCAATTTGTCATTCATGCAGTCACAGAATCCACACGTCTTACTCATTGTACGCAGAGCTGTCACATACTGTTCAATAGATTCACCATCTTCCTGACTGCGTTGATTGAACTTGAATCTTTCAAAGAATTCTCTGCTCTCACCAAGGAAATGTTTATCAAACTTATCCAGTATCACAGAGCATTTCACACTTTCAGCGGCATTAGCAAACTTCATGCCGTTGTAGACACGCAGACAATCTTGTCCCACACTGTGCAGTAGTAGTGCAGTTTGGTACCGATCTGGTTGTTTGGAGAGGTTTGTGAGAATAGTGTAGTTGTCCCATTGCTGTCTCCAGATTTTCCACCCTTCAACTAGACCTACATTTCCCGCAGCCGCATGGAAATGACCAGGGGGTTGGACAGAAGGCTTTACGAAATGGGCCCCTTGCAAATCACCCTCAGTACCCTCAGGAGACACAGTGTCAGGCATGTTGTACACCACAGCAAACAATTCAGACAGAGATCTCGAATTTCAATGCTTTGCATGCAAGTAACACTACACAAACTTACATGAGTGGGGCTGACTATACGTTGAGTTGACTCTCAAAGTAAACAGGTGAATTCCAGTTCATAACACGGTATGCAGACGCATAATAGAGTTATAGGTGTATTACAAACACTTTCCTACATGGATTTACAAACTTTCACCGCTGTCATCATGTTTCAAGCTTAGTTCGATGGCATTTAATGTCAGACGACAAAGGATAGTACAGTCAGATTGGTATAGTAACGAGAGAGTGGCTTTTAATACTGATGGAGCCATCTGGCGCCCTCTTTTGATTGAAGCTTTACATGTGTTCTTCTAAAATCTCAGAAACAATATTGACACACACTCAATTCCCATAAAAAATAGGTTAAATAAGACAAATTTGAAAAATGAAAATTTCACAATTTAAAGAAAAAAAAAAAACATTGAAAAAAAGAAGAAAAAGGAGCATTTTTTCTGACAGGGGTATGGACAAGGGCTATTTTTATATCAATACACACATGGACATTTGATATATAGAACTGCTACTGTCCTATTAAACCATGCCCTTGGACGCTGCAAGGCCATATGTCACTCAGTGTGGTCCAAGTTTGAACAGATTCCTGGGGGGTGTTTCACAAAGACTAAGATCGACTTTAAGTTGCACTTCACTATGGCAGGCTATTCATGCCACTAGTTGCTCTCACCATTGGTCTCTCAATTATGATCTTTAAATAATAATTTTCCTTCAAATATGAACTATCAAAAAAATGTAGATTTGTGACCATGATTTGTGCATCCCTTGGGAGACCAATGCCAGTGAATGGTGAGAGAAAAAAAATGGCATAAACGGCCTGCCATAGTAAAGTCCAACTTAAATTTGATCTTAGTCTTAATGAAACACTCCCCTGGTGAGGAGCCTGACTATACAATGGGTCTTTATTAATCATCATTTTTTTCTTCTTCAAACTGACCTTTACTTCACAGATCTCTTGGTCCTTGGATGCGAGCACTTTGCGGAGTTTTTCGATAGCTGCATGAAGATCATGACTTTGCTCTACCTCTGCTACATCTTCCTCTGTCTGAGTCTCCATGGTAACCACATCCTTCTGCATCTAAAAATTGACAATAGATCAGTAGTCATGGTAAATTGTCAATAAGAACTGGCTTCTTTATAACTTTTGTTTACCACAACTTGCGTAGCAAGGCCTTTGTCCTTTTGGCACTCATTGCTTGTCTACATTTGACATCCATGCTATTGAATACATCATTCATCACTTGTTTGTAAAACATGTTTATCATCATCATATTAATCATTATTACTATTTTTATGATCATTATCAACATCCTTATTATCCTTTTTCCTTTCTGCACCGTTCTACCCACACTCTCTGCCTACCTGTGGTCTTCTTCTACTCTCTCGCTCTGTCTGCACCCTAGCTCATCGTACAAAATTGATTTGGTGTAACTTACCCTACTAAAGCCGTTATGACTGTATTTTACCATTACTGTAATTGTCTATGATTATGATTATTTCCTTTTGTAAACTGGGCCCCGTCTTACAAAGAGTTACGATTGATCCAAATCAATCGCAAGTTTGCAGTCTCCTATCTCTTATGTACATAGTTGTGATTGATATTAATCGCAAATAAGTTGGGATTGATATAAACTCTTTGTAAGAAGAGGCCCTGATCTATAAACTTTTACCATTGAAAAACGAATTTCTGAATGAATAATAAATGCTAAATATCAATATCAATATATGAATATTGATATTATTATGATTACCAAGGCAACCCTTATTTTAACCCTTTCTCTGACAATGACACACCTGTCACTAATACACATGCCAGAGCATGGACAATTAACCAGCCTGTTTTGTGCTGGAAGGTGGTACCCATAATGACACTAACCTGCGACATGATTTCATAGTTTGCAGCTTCAAGTCGAGCCTTCTCATCTTGGATTCTGTGAAGACAAAAAAATGGCAAAGACGTAAAAAGAATACACATTTTTTATATTTGACAATACCTCATTACTCATATGTTCAGAAAAAGTAATTGTTTGATTAGATAGAGCAAAGTATTACTTATGTGATGACATACAACAAACTTAAAACGTGAATAGTTAATTCAACTAGTACTTATGCAAAGTACTTATGGACATTAGTAAGTAATAGTTGACGTCTAACCGAAGAACTGTTCCTAAAATACAACTGTGATGGTAAGATAACAACAATAATATTTACATAGTAAATGAAAAAAAAATTATAAAATCACAATTCTATGAATAATGGTCAAAAAGAGTTTAAACTCCACATTAGGTAAAATAGTTTTAAGAAATGATGAAAATAGTTGTATACTCAAAAATTAAATGGTCATACTACTGACACTACTGGAGCATTTTGAAGACTTATCACTTTTATAGCTTCTTACCTAGTGAGCTCATCTTGCAATCTCTCCATGTCATTTAGAACTTCTGAATGTCTTGTTTCTAGTTCAGTAGCCTCCGCCTCTTTCAGTTTCTCTTCTTCTTTCAACGTGTCCATCTCTTGGAGGACACAGGATAATCTTGACTCCAATTCAAGCACTTTTTCCTCTCTTACTGTGTCCTGCTCCTGCGACACATTGGCTAACATTGCCTCAAGCTCTGCCATGTGCTGTTCTCTCAAGTTCTCCTCTTCTTTCAGAGCCTCTATCTCCTGCAGAACATTGACCAGCTGTGCTTCTGCTTCAGCCACTTGCTCCTCTCTGAAGATGTCCTGCTCCTGCGAGACGTTGGCAAACCTCGACTTCAATTCAGCCATTTCCTCTTCTCTCAAGTTCTTATCCTCATTTAGAAACTCCAACTCTTGGCGTGCATCATTCAAATGCGACTGCATCTCAAGAAACTTGCCTACTTTCTGGTTCTTTTCTTCTTTCAAAGCTTCCAGCTCTTGAAGAACACCTGTCAAATGTGCCTCCAGCTCAACCACCTTGTCTTCTTCTGCGCTCTTCTCCTGCGAGGCGCTGGTCAACCTTTCCTCAAGCTCAGAGATCTGCTTATCTTTCAAGTTCTTCTCCTCCTTCAAAGCCTCCAGTTCCTGGATAACACTGGCCAGATCTGACTCCAGCTCCACCACTTTGTCCTTATTCAGGTTCTTCTCTTCCCGCAGTGAGTCCATCTCTTCCACGACATTGGTCAAATGGGACTCCAACTCTGCCACTTTGCCTTCCTCGCTGATCTCTTTTGAAACGATGGCTAACCTTGATTCCAGCTCGGTCATTTGTGCTTCTCGGACATCCTTCTCTTGCCTAAGAACCTCTATCTCCTGCATGCCGGTGGTCAACCAGGACTCCAGCTGAGCTATTTTCTCTTCTCTCAGGGTCTTTTCTTCCTTCATGGCATCCAACTCCTGCAGTGCATCAGACAACTGTGAATCCTGTTTGACAACTCTACCTTCCTCTTCACCTTCCTTGTCTTGTTGGACATTGGCCAGCCTCGACTCCAGCTCACTTATTTGCTCTTCTTTCACATTCTTCTCTTCTCGCAGAGCCTCTACCTCTTGGAGAACGGAAGCCAACTGTGCTTCCAGCTCTGTTGCTTTGTCTTCCGCTCCACTCTCCTTCTCATGTACGACCTCACCTAACCTTGACTCTAGCTTAGAAATTCTCTCATCTTTCCATGCTTCTGCTTCTCTCAGGGAATCGGTTTCTTCAAAAACATTTGCCAAATGGGATTCTAGCTGCAAGATTCTCTCTTCCTTCAAATCCACATCTTCTTCAGGTACACTGGCTAGCAATGACTCCAGTTCGGCAATTCTCTCTTCTTTGAATTTCTTCTCTTCCCTCAGAGCCTCTACCTCTTGGAGAACGGAAGCCAACTGTGCGTCCAGCACTGTTGCTTTGTCTTCCGCTCTACTCTCCTTCTCATGTACGACCTCACCTAACCTTGACTCTAGCTCAGAAATTCTCTCAACTTTCAATGCTTCTGCTATTCTCAGGGAATCTGTTTCTTCAAAAAAATTTGCCAAATGGGATTCTAGCTCCAAGATTTTCTTTTCCTTCAAATCCACATTCTCTTCAGGTACACTGGCTAGCAATGACTCCAGTTCAGCAATTCTCTCTTCTTTGAAATTCTTCTCTTCCCTCAGTTCTTCTGTCTCCTGCAGGAGATTAGCCAGCTTAGAACTCAGCTCCAACAATTTCTCCTCTTTCTCACCATCTTGCTCCTGGAGAACCACGTTGAACCTTGATTCTAGCTCCATCATTTTCTGTTCTTTCAGAGTCTCCTCCTCCCTCAGGGTGTCCATCTCCTGGACAGCATTAGCCAGCTTGGCTTCTAGGTCACATACCTTCTCCTCTCTCATGGTTACCTCTTTCTTTAGAGCCTCCATCTCCATCAGAATGCTGGCCAACCTTGACTCAAGCTCATGTACTTTCTCCTCTTCCACATTCTCCTTCTCCTGCAAGGCACCAGCTAACTTCATCTCCAGTTCCGTCACCATCTTCTCCTTCTGAATTTCCTTCTCCTTCAAGGACTCCATCTCCCTCAAGACTTCAGCCAGCCTTGACTCCAGCTCAACCGCATTCTCCCTGTTCTCAGTCTCCAGCTCCATGCCTTCTTCTGCAGTCGCTCCCTCTGCCCCCTCCTTCTCCTTCAGCTTGTCATAGGCCTCTTGCAGCTGCTGGCGGAGTTCAGAGGTCATCGAGCGGTTGCGCTCTTTCTCCGCATCCAGCTGGAAATCCAGATCCGTCTTTTCATTTTCGGACTGGGTCAGTTGGGCTGTAATCTTTGTCTGATGGCAAGATAATAGCAGGATCTTGATTAATCAGTGAAAAATTTCTTTCTTAGCAATATTCATAGCTTGATAACATGTATTTTGATTAATATCTTTGTGTCTTTACATTACCACATTAAACTTGTTTCGGTGCCAACTGACTGAGGCACAGAATGTCAGTAAAAATTATAAAATTTTGGACTGTAGGCATCAAAATTTGTATTTTTACAATATCGATCACACATGGTTCTTTACATGAAATGTAAATATGGTTCAGTAGAACTAACAATTGCTCGTTTATTCTATAGTATTAATAAGTAAGAACAATTTTTAAACAAAAGTAATGATAATTATCACCACAAATCATAAGAACTAACAACAACAACAACAAAATTTCAAAGACTTATGTATCAGCAACTTAAATTGGTGATGATTAGCATGGAAAGGAGAAGAAATAAATAATAGAGATTGGAAAAGATCATGAGAATTTACTTACCTCTATATCCCTCAGATCTTTATCCTTTTGTTTCATGATCTCCTGGAGTCTGTTGATTTCACACTGGTATTCAGACTATGAGAATACAAAAAGACATGATTACCAGTACAGATCATTTGGTGGAAGCATGCTGGTCTATCTTATATACATATAAACATTAAAACTACAGCTGAAAAAACTCTCTGTTAAACCCTACTGATTTCTGACAAGTATTTAAACTACATAAATTATAAATCATGAATCTTTGAGAAAAAAGATTCATCTTTAATTTTTTTTAATTTTTTTTTTACATAAGTTGAATTTCTAAGTGGTGCTCACAGATTTAAAACAATTAATTACTCATCATTTATAAAAACACAACAGAGAAGGGTAAAGTACATGAAATATACAACATGAAACTATCAAAGAATTACACAATTGTGATTAAAATACAGCCAAATCGTTTGTGGATGTAGTTAGGTAAACCAGGGCTCGAATTTAGCGGTGGCCCGGTGCCAATGGCCACCTGAAACGCTGTCGGGCCACCTGAAATCACCGACTAGATGGCCCGTACTCGATATCGAGTTCAGCTAGCCATCATTTTGAAATGAGACGTAGTTGTCATGCAGTAGACTGTAGAGGGCAGTATGCAGAAGAGAGAGGAAAAAGCGCGGGCCTGAGATCACGTGATATTCACGTGACTATTATGTGGTTTTTTTTCCCTCTCTAGCTGCGAGCTGCCGCATTCTGCGCTGCATGCATGACAACTACGTCTCATTTCAAAATGATGGCTAGCTGAACTCGATATCGAGTACGTAGCTCATGAAATATCATTATTTCTGTAAGATATTATGAATATCTATAGTATTATTTGTCAAAGCAAATAATTATTTTACGGTAATTTTGTTGAATTGGAGTCCCTTAAAGTCTTACGTGATGTTTTTTAATTGGTTTAATGCTTATTGTTCCGATCAGGTCGGATGACGGTGTAGGGATTTAAACGTGCATATGAAGCTTGACTCGTAACTTCTGCTTGCCGTTATACACGCATTTTTAGAACGAACGAAAGGCACTTCGATGTTATTTCAAGAGCTCTAATTTATTTTCCTTCATCAAACTATCAAGGATAAACCATTATGTTGTGGATATATTTTGACAATTAAATTAATGCCTTTAGTATTACGATTTAATTGCAATAGTCTGATCAATATTTTAGTCTTGTGTGTGGCATTTTCTTGCTCTGTCTTCAGTGGGTCATATATCTATTTCCACTTCCGTTTCTGAACGCACTCGATCGGTACCACGAAGCGTGATTCCTTTCTTGCAGCCTCAATTTTAGAGCGATAAAAACACCTACCGTCAACTGAAACAATATCCATTTATTTCTAAAGCATATTTATTTGATTATATTGAAATATAAGTTTGTGAATTCCATATTTTTAGTTCTATATTTCAAAATATCAGTGTGAAATTTAATTTTGAAAAACCCGAAACCCGAAAACCAAAAACCGGGTTTCAGCTCGACGGTCGGGGCCCGGGCGGGGACCCGTTTCGACTCAGGCCTAAAGTAAATATACAATCAATTTTATATCTTCCAACAGAACTTGGAGCTCAAAGAAAAGCAGAAGTTTGGCGCCTTGTGTGCCCTGTACAATCCTAACTTAAGGGGGAGGGGGTCCTTGTGATGCATGATAGTCAAGGAGAAAGGGAGAAAAACATTGAAGTGAAGTTGAGACAGAAGTATATAAACAAAGAGAGAGGATTTGGAATGAGAGTCTAAAGAGTCACTCACCTTTCATTATTAAATGCAGCTCATGCTGCTTTTAACACGTATAATTTATGCATTTTTTTATTAAACATTTGCATTATTTAATGCATAAAAGTGGGGCCACCTGAAAATCCATTTGGCCACCCAGATCTCCTACCCAAGTGGCCCTGCTGGCCACCTCAAAAAAAGTTAAGGGCAAGCCCTGTAAACATATTTTGATTAAATATTATATATCTAAATCATGATACACATTTAATCTTGTGTAAATGTGAATATGAATATAGTAGATTTCCAAAGAGTATTCCATACTTTTGAATCCCTATTCAGGAGACACCCCCCCCCCCCCCTCACTATTTGTTTAATGAGAGACAGAGCAAAACGCACATCAAACCCGAGTCTGTACTTACATGTATCAATCTATCTATCTATCTATCCATCTATCACAAGGTCAGCGGTTTGAGTGCCGCCGCTGCACTAATGTCCTTTGGCAAGACATTGATCTACATTTGCCACACTCCACCCAGGTGAAGTAAATGGGTACCTGGTGGAAATTTATTCCTTGAAACGCAGCGCGCGTAACAACTGCACTGCTAAAGCCAGGGTAATTATGCTCCATTATTTGTAGAGCGCTTAGAGACTTCTGATAAAGTAAGTGTTAGGCGCTATATAAGCACTATAATTATTATTATTATCTTTGAAACTCTAATTCTAGTTCTCACCTCTTGTTCTTTAAGAGATTTGTCCTCCCACCTTGTAAACTGCTGCAGCTCCGCATACTCCTCAGCCTTCTGCAGCAGCACAAACCTTAGCTCTGCTATCTCTTCCTTCCTAAAGGACACCATGCAAAGGGAAGAGACATCCCCGTTCAGACGTGGTATACTGATAACATTTTGTACAATACACATATCGCTAGAGGTACCTGTATATTACAGGCAACTAGTTTGTTTGTGTGAACAAACCTCAGCTCCCCTATCTCTTCCTTCCTAAAGGACACCATGCAAAGGGAAGAGACATCGCCGTTCAGATGCGGTATACTGGTAACGTTTTGTACAATGTATCTCTAGAGATACTTGTACATTACAGGCGTCTCATTTGTTTGTGTGAACGGTGTAAAGCAGAACATATAGCGAATGTTGTATGGCAAAATGGAATTATGGGCCTTATTTAGAATGATAACTCATTATCAAATAGTACTTGAACAGAATTTATAGGTATAGACCTGTTCCAGTCATGCGCTTGCATTGTGAAAGAAACGTTGTGGAATCAATCAGAAAAGGTTGATCATCTAGCATATAAGTATTGGTGTCTACTGCAAGGTTCTTGAATCATCAAAATGATAAGAAATTTGGCCCAGTCTTGGTAAAGTTACAAGCACTGTACACAGAAAGATGTATATGGGACTACGCAATATCTATCTAGTCCAGATAGATATGATAATTCACCAAATACAACTAGTAGGCAAAATTTGTATCATCATGTATTAGTCAAAATATATTCTTTCACATGACAGGTAATAGAGCTTCCATTTCATTTTTTCAGAGGGGGGCATTTCCGAAACTGGTCTATACCTTTTACTTAGAGCACATTGTTAGTGTTCCAGTTTGAGAAGAGGCTAATTGGACTCTTGATCAGGGACGGTCACTGCACGTGTCAGTCTGACATCACTTCAATCCAGAGTCAACTGGGTTCATTCTTTACAAAACGGACGGCTTACTATTCCAACCCCAATCAGGAAGAGTTTGTACAATACAATTGGTTTATTTGAGAGTGAGTGAAAAACAAAGTTCCTCCTCTAAAAATAAAGGTTGTAATCACAGCAAAGAGGTGCTGTGATTTTAAAGGGAGAGGGTTGTCAGTTTCCATGAGCAGAAGTTCATAATTTGCTGACATCAGAATTGGTGGAAATACCATTAATGGTCTGCACACAGCAACTTGTAGGCCAATTCAGAAATACTCTGTAGTCTCTCTGAGAGTCTTTGGGTGATGCAAATGGGGATTTACCATATGGGAAAAAGGCAGGGCAGTACATGGAGCAGCCTGTTGGTCATAGAACGGAAGGCTAATCCTGGTGATTGCCAACACCTGTTATTGGGTAAACACCCAAATTGAACGGTGTCCGTTAAATTCCACATGAGAGCCCACTTCTATGTTTCTTTAAAGGCCGTTTGTACTAGTTTGGCTAGAAGGGATTAGAACACCCAGCAAGGTCACTGGCAGGTGGTTATCTCATCAACTCGGCTCTCAATTAACATAAGAAAAAGAGGATCATGGGGGACCAATGGTCACCGCTTTGGCATTATTTTCTATATAGAGGGAGCAAGTACCTACAAGTAGTACAGTGGGCCTTTAATAGGCTATAGGAATACCAGTACTTACATTTTGATGATGTCAGATGATGCATCTGTTCTCATCTCAAGTTCTTTCTTGGTCTCTTCCAGCTTAGAATGCAACTGGTTCCTTTCTTCACTCAGAGCTTCACACAGTGTTAATGACTCCATCAGTTCTCCTTTCCTGTATACATCATATTAAAAGACCATGAACAAGATAATCATTAATAGTTAACTACTTAATTGACAACAGTGTGTTGATGCAAGTTTTGATCGTACATTTTTGTTAAAAAAGCCAGAATGCTGATAAGAAAGACTTGCTAAACTGTGATTTTAACAAAGAAATGATAGCAAGCATTCTTTTTCGTTAAAGGCAGCATAATTGTTCAAGATTTTTACTCTAATGACAACGGTCTCACTTACTGATAATACTGACTAATTTTAAAAAGCTGGTAGCTCCATGTAAAAAATTTGCAATTGGTCACAACTCTAAGAGGTCAATTGTAAGTTCCAATTTCTAAATTAATGATTTTGAGAGATTGAAAAGTTATATTACAATTATGTCTCATTGTGTAGTAAGTGCTTCAGAGGCTTTCCAGCAAAGTGTAAAGTGATATCAACTAAAAGTGTAAGAGTTTACAGAAACTTTATTATGTCCAAAAACAACAAGCCATTTTTGTTGGAAGAAAACGGTTAGAGTTTATAAACATCAAAAAGATTTAGATAGAGTAACATGATGTTACATGAAGTTTCACTAACAGGAATAAAGCACTTACAATTTATCTACATCCGGATGATGTGTCTGCGTGGCTTGAGCAGCATCTGGGATGGTCTCATCCAGTTTGGTCTGCAGCTGGTCCTTCTCTTCTTGGAGAGCATCGCACAGAGCTGATGACATCTCCAGTTCAGCTCTCCTAATACGAGGAATCCCAGAAAGGAAATACAGTGAAAATTGTACATAAAAACTACTATGCAAGCGAGACAAGTAGTCTTTGGCTGCGTTCATGCTTAAATTTTGAAGGCAGAATGAGCGATCTGAAACGCTCATCGTAAACGCTCATCGTGATCGCAGTTCCACGATGTAGTGTTCATGCTTACTTCTCTGGCTCCCCAGGCAATTCTTCGTGTGTGGCCTTAATTGGTCTTCCAGCTGGATTCGCAAACCTTCACTGTGCATGCTACGTAGACCCACTAGAGGTCAGTGCGTTGACCCCATTTAAACGCGTTTACAAAGTGTAAACGCATCTTTTTGTGAGTTTACGATCGGCGATCGTGATCGCCGTTTTTCGGTGATTCTACAAAAGTGAGCTAAGACGCAACCGTGTTTTAAACTAAACGCGTAACAGATGCCTGATTCTGGCCGTCAAAATCAAGCATGAACGCGCCCTTAGTAGACACGGAATGCTCCCCAGGGAGTGGGAAATGTGCATACATTGTGTGTGGGTAAGCCTGAATCCGATGACTGGGGTAATAGTATATCTGTAAAGCGCTTAGGCACATCGTTGTATCAATGTATTGGGCAAAAGCGGAATATTATTATTATCATTAACGGATCTTTAATATAAACACATAATAAGAAAAATTTCAAATATGAGAAACAGAACATGTGGTCTTTATGGACAGTCAACAGTCATTGCAGGTTTGTCAGTGTCATCCAGAATAAATTTCACAAGCAATTGTTAACATTGAATTAAATTCAGGTTTATGGGATGAAATCTAGTCCCAGTGGTTGTATGCCCTTTAGACAAGTTGTCAATACAACCTTTGTAATTATTATTATTAATACTATATATTCAGCAAAACAAAGTGTATACAAAAGAATTACATAGAAAACAATGGATAAAAATCATTAAAAAAACACCATTGTGAATCCCATGAGCATTTACAAGTTGCCAGGAATAAGTTCATTTGTATGAGCACTGGTACTTAAGTTGCCAGTCAGTCAAATGATTGGATCAACGTCGGTAATCCACTGTCTCATTCTTCTTCTCTTTTCCGTAATTTAAGGGAAATTACCTGTCTTGCCACCTTCAAAAGATCCCTCAAAACTCACCTTTTTCCCCAATGATCTATGTGATATGCTTCATGTACTGTACATTTTTGTCCTCTTTTCTTATATTTGTATTTGTAAGCGCTATGGTACTTTTTGTTCTTAGCGCTCCTAAATATTTGATATATTATTTGTGATATTGATGGAGTGATTTGGCAGACTTACATTACGAGAATCTCTTCTGGCTCCTCGACTTGGACTTGATTGATGTCTTTGGTCTGTAGCTCCTCCAGCCTGTCCTTGAGGGCAGCATTCTCTTCTGTCAGCGTCTCGAGAACAACTTGCATCTCTCTAACTTGATCACTCTGTACCTAGAATGAAATTTCATTGAAGAGTTTATAGGTAACACTGAATGCTGACATTTTTAGGCTGAATTGCAATAATTCTACAATAAAAGAGAATTTGATTGATAAAATATTTCTACTTAGACAGTAATTTCTAAGATTGATAACATAGTTCTAGGACAGTAAAATTACAAGAAAATTGTTAGATAGTTGGCCTAATATTAAATGACTAAGCTATGAAGTCTAGTCTAATATTAACCATGTGAAAATGTTAAATCTGTTACAATGATAGAAGTGTACACAACAATTATCTAGGAGATAACATAGGAATAAATAAAAACAATATATTAGGGTTTTAAAGACATAATGGTATCTGAATTCTGTGAGGATTCATAGAGAACGTTTCAAAACAGGGATATATTTATATGCATTTTGGACAGAGATTAAAACAAATTAATAGGAGAGTCTTTTTGCTAGTACCTCTTCCAATCTACTTCTTAGTTCTGCATTTTCCTGTTGAGAGGACTCCAACGTGGCCTTGATATCATTTAGCTCACTGGAAGGCATCTCCTCTGATCTCCTTTCCAAGGTCTCTTTCTCTCCCCTGGACATCTCCAATGCAGCTTGCAGCTCAGTCAGATCAGCAGCCTGCTTCTCCAGGGTAGCCAGCGCCTCGTTCAGTCTGGTTGTGTCCCTTTCCTCATATTGCTCCTTGAGAGAATGGAGTTCCCTGGATGCTGACTCGAGCTCTGTACGTAGCTGGCTGTTCTCGCTGATATGCACCTCTCCAAAGGCTTCTCTTTCCTGATTGGCAGAGTCCAATGCAGCTTGTAGGACGGCGAGTTCCTTGTGGCTCTTCTCAAGTGTTGTCATCGCTTCGGTAAGTGCGTCTGTTTCCATGCTACCCAGCCTTGACTTTATATCTGCATTCTCTGCATTGGCCAAGTCCAGGGCAGCCTGCAACTCCATCAGCTGCTTGTTCTGTACATCTGCCAAGTGGCTTTTCAGCTCTTCATTTTCCAGGTTTGCAGCGTCCAGTACAGCCTGCGTCTCCATCAGCTGTTCATTCTGTACCTGTGTCATGTGGTTTTTCAGTACCTCAATCTCCAAGTTTGCAGTGTTCAGGGCATCCTGTAACTCCATCAGCTGCTTGTTCTGTTGTTCTGCCATGAGGGACTTCAGTTCTGCATTCTCCAAGTTTGCAGAGCCCAGTGCAGCCTGTATCTCTGTCTGCTGCTCCTTCTCTATCTCAGCCATGCGGGACATAAGTTCTGCATTCGCCAAGTTTGCAGTGTCCAGTGCAGCTTGCAGCTCCATCAGTTCCTTGTTCTGGCTCTCTGAAACGTGGTTTTTCAGTACCTCAATCTCCAAGTTTGCAGCGTTCAGGGCATCTTGCATCCCTGTCTGCTGCCCCTCTTGTATCTCAGCCATGCGGGACTTCAGTTCTGCCTTCTCCAAGTTTGCAGAGTCTAGTGCAGCTTGCAGCTCCATCAGTTCCTTGTTCTGGCTCTCTGAAATGTGGCTCTTCAGTTCTTCTTTCTCCAAGTTTGCAGAGTCCAGAGCAGCCTGCATCTCTGCTTCCCTGGCTTGCCTCTCTAGGACATCACTTTCCTTTCCTTCAAGCATCTCCTTCAAGGTCTTAATTTCTTCCTGAGCAGACTCGAGGGAAGCTGTCATCCCAAGTACTTGATCCTCAGAGGGGGATGCAACCGCCTGTCAGACAAAGATAGCGTAATGGAAATTACTAAGTGGTACAATATACAATGATGCATGCGCATGAGTTCATTATATGATCTATCCGCACTCGAGTTGAGTCTGTGTGTATCTATCTGTGAATATAGATACACACATCCTCAACAAGGGCGGATAGATCGTATAATGAATGAATGAAGACATGCATCATTTGTTTTATACTACAAAACTCCTAGATCCTTGTTATTTGATGTAAAAAGAATTCATTCAAGATTGATTCGTGACAGTCTCAAGTTTAATAGGCTTAATTTAGTGCGCACACATAGATAAGCACACTTACCTCTAAGAATAGGCCGATGCTCACACAGTACGAGCGCTTTTACCTCTATGCGTGGGATAGTACTGGAAACTATTGCATGCTTTTTCTTGAAAAACGTGGGATAGTCTCAGTAAACGAATCACACATGTATGACCGGGCATGACCAATCATTTGATTAGGATTTGGAAGTGAGTTGTATAATACTAAATGAAACACTTAGGCTTGTTCAAACCACTATGATTATCTTGCCCCAACGGTTGCTGACAACCACAGTATATCATGACATGGGAACGAGGCATCTGCATTTACCATACATGTAAAGGATCACTTTGATGGTATTGTTAATACTGAGTGGGTCAAATTCAAGAAATAATGAATAAAAAAGGCTTTAAGCATACTGTAAAACCGTACCTACATAAATAAACTTTCAATTTTATTTTTATAAAGGCTATTTATTTACATATACATATATATGGATCCGGGCTAACTCGGACCCGGGACAACTTGGCCCCGCTGCAAAAACAGTCATTTTTTGGTCATTTTTACCTAACCCTAACCCTAAACCGAGTTGTCCCCGGGTCCGAGTTAGTCTGACTCCAAATATATATATGAATCTTTGTATCATGATATACAGAAATGTGTAGTAAACCCAACTTTTTTGGGGGGTGGGGGGGGGGGGGGGTGCGAGATTTACTTTTTTCAATTTATAAAATGAAGCTTCACCATACCTCTGTCTGACAAGCCATTTCTTTGTTGTATTCTTCTAATGTGAAAGTGTACACATCATCATCCCCAAAGTGTACACTGGCTCTCCTGCGCTTGTTCTTCCTCGAGTAGGCGACATCTAGATCCGGTAAGTCAGCGTCCAGGCCTTCATTACCGAAGTTAGGGACTGCTGCTCTGAAGGCCTCTGCATTTTCATCATTGAATTCTGCAGAGAAAAAGCATTGGAAAAGAGTTGATTAATTGATAATTAAGGAAGTTCACTGTGATAATTTATTCTAAGTACGGTACATGTAGTATATCGAAGGGTCAATGACACAAAGACATAACTCCATTTTGGCCATTATGAGAAAAAGTGGTTTATGTGTCACTGAGCACTTGGGCCTTAATTCTATGTTTCACTAGCCATGACTTCAATTGGGGTGTTGGGTGGAGTTAAGTCTTTGTGTTTCCTGAACATTTTGATATAAAATACTTATTTTGGCAAAATAGTTACGTCTATGTGTCACTGAACCCTCGATATATACATATTTAGAATTTGCAGTAGTGCAGCAAGAAAATTGGAACTTACAATGTAGGAAGTCACATTTGACAGTCACTCACATAATTAAACAAATAATCATTAAATGAGCTGGAAAATACAACATAAATGAAATTACTAAGTTTCTTGGCAAAGCAGTTGAACTCACTTTAATTTGCATTGAGTCAACAGCAATAGTTTTTCTTCCGCATTTCATTTGACTGATAAGAACATGTCGAAAACAAACTCTTAATTCTGATTGAAAACAATGCTTCTTCAAAAACAGCATAACTGATTTTATTTTCACTTTCAACTGGCTTTATTCAATTAAAATCATCACAATTTCATTAATCTTTTCAACTGCTTGCTGAATTATCAAGATTCTACTCTTTTATAAGCATTTGGCACAACAAATATTTATTGAACAATCATTGTAAAATAATTAACAAATTTGGGTTAGTAAATGAACAGCAAATGACACAAGTATTAGACAAATATGACATAAAACACATTTGAAAATAGGTTCCCAAATTATTTTTTGCTATATTTCAAAGCTTTCGCCCTTGTCGTTGGTATGTTAGAAGTCGTCAAATGATAAAGGAACATGCATGAGATCGCATTCTAAATGATTGGCTAGTTGGCTATATGTGCGAACTATCAAGCTGGGTATGTATCAAGAGAAACTACACTAAACTACCTACAACATTTATATCAATCTTTAATCCTTCAAATTTCAGATGTGTTGCTCATGCAATCAAATGACTACATGTAATAGCCAAAAAACAAAGAAGAAATAATCTACACAATTTGAATCTCAGAAGAATCCCCCCTTTTATAGACAAATTTACCATTACAGCATGCACTGCACAAATAACTACAACAGGTAAGCAGCACACACATGCATTATTCTCGTATCATAAAGAGTTACTTACCAAAGGGAAAAAATGAAGTTAATGATAGTGCATGAACGCAGTGTTTCAGATAAGGAGATAAAATGATCATGATGAGAATTAAAACATGAAAATTATAAAATAATACATGTTTGAATAAACCCCGAAGGGCATCAACTCTATAACAAAGAATATGAGTTAACAAGTTAACTACCCTCTGGCTCTAGAAGATGATATAGTGATGTTTGTTTAATAATTCAACATTCAATAAATCATGCTTTAATTAATTCTGAATGAAGTCAAAGGAAACCTCACCCCAAGAAATAACTTTCTTTATTCTGAGAGGTTTATTGCATTCTTGCCCATCAATCTATAAGATTTCCTACCAAAGTGTATGAGAGAGATATACAGCAAGATGTTCTTAGCATAATGTTTTGTACAGTTCCTCAGCACGAAATGAGGAAAATGGCTGCGCCCATGTCATGCTAATTAGCATTACATCATGCCAAGAACATCTTCAATTATATATCTTTTGGTTCTCACCTTTTTATAAGGCATATTGTACATCAATAGGCAGGAATAAATCTCATCTCTCAGATTATATACACTTATTCTTAGGGATGCAGTTTGCTTTACATGAATGTGCATTACACCTGTTAATCATGATTCATGACTACGGGTTAAAGAGGTACTCTGGTCTTTCAGCTGCCATGCACAGCACAATGGTAACTGGTGTGTTATGGATGGATTCTTGGTACACAAAGATGATGAGGCCATGATGTTCAAAATCAAATGATTTAATTTAACGATTTAATTAAAAATTCAGAGCATTATTTCAAGAATAACATTTTTGTTTAATCTGATGATGCTGAAGCTCAGTGTGCAAACCTCAGTCTAATTTAACTCGTAACTTTCGAGTTAACAATGAACAGTGCCAATTAATTTGTTATGTACCTATCCGCATTTTTCTTTCTGCCAGATACTTACCGTCACTGCTGATGCTGCTTACAGATCCACTTGACATGGAGATGAATGGATCCACCGATGCGTCTAGGAGCGATGAGAGGGAAGCGTCAGAGGCTTCCAAGATGGGGCTCTTCTGGGCTCTCAGCAAGGCAGGGCGTGGTGGTAATAGGAGGGGCTGTAGCTGCATGCCGGGGCACCATGTCTCACGTCGGGGCTGCATGCCACGGGAATGAAGAAAGAAGGGAGAACGGGGAAAAAAAAATTAAATTTTGGGGGCTACTTTTCAAGCTTGCTTGCATGAAAATAGCACTCTTTAATTTGTTGTGCATTGAACTCTATGCACATTTTTTTTTTTTTTTTTTTTTTTTTTTTTTGGGGGGGGGGGGGGGGGGGCTCTTTTGGGCGTTTTGGGGGCAAATTTGACCTGAGCCCCTGTGTATTCTTTTCCCTGGAGAACAATCAAGATAGATTTGGGTATGCTGCCTTTCTAAATAATACATACATCAAAATGTAATATGCTATGGAACATGCAATGGCAATCACTCCTATGCCAATAATAGGAAATAGTAAACAGAAATATGTTGCAAAATCATCAAATAAAAATATTAACGTCACATCTGACATGAAATGACAAGAAATTGTTGCAGTTTAGAAATCCATTTTGAAAACATACTTTTTAAAATGTGGTCAATATACCTTTTTTAATCTATTGCCTAATCATGGGTGATAGCAAGAACTAAACAGACAAAAAATTCCTGGTCTAGTCCTGTTCCGGTCTTTTCCCTATCAGCGCTACATGTATATAGAGTTATAAAGAGTGATCTGCTGATCTGCAGCTTGTTGTGACTGACCTTTCTCTTGAGTTGTTTCTTGGGGGTTGCCCCACCCTTGGAGACGACCACCATGTTGTTGAAGTAATCCATCTTCTCCTGCATCTCCTTCATCACCTCCTTCTTCATCCTCTCCCTCTCCTGGCTCAAGAGGGCCTCCTTATCCTCATCGGTCAGTGCTAGTGGAGGAGCCTGGGACTATGGTTGAAAGAAATATCCAGAAGAAAAATAGATATCACTGGTCTCAGTTTCCTCCATCTGTAGTCTGAGCATCAACACTCAACTCATTCAAATATACACTGGACAAACACTGGTCCTCCATGCAGGCATCAGAATCTTCCATAAATGTCCACCCACCACAAATGCAAAAACATGTACCGGTAAGTCAGTTTCAATTGGAAGATTTATTACTCAAAGAAACAACCAGAAGTTTCAATGAGTTTTAACTACCTTTCATTTCTGTACACAAATGACATGATGATATTCTCATGTGTCACACAATGTATAATTCAATGTCTCATGGCCCTTGCTTTCAAAATTAGTGTCCTAGCTACCATGGATTGGCAGGGGAAAAAAATGAATTTCTGATTATAATTTGGTATAAAACGCATTGATGACATAGTCCTGCCAAAGTTACATGTATCTGAGATTACGAATTCAAGGAGTTTAATTCAGTGAAAATAAAATGAGTGAACAATCATACAGTGGGATTCGCAACATTCCTCACTTTTACTGCCTCACTGCTAAAACCCCCTAAATACTATGTGCTTCATATCAGCATTGGGTTCATGATTCTAAGAGCTATTTTTGTGCTTGTATAAACAATGCTTTAGTTTCCCTGGTCTTACCCCTTCTAATTTTTTCTTCAGGCTCTGGATCTCTTTCTTCATCCTCTGCATAAGGGCCTCGTCGGACAAGATTTCGTTCATCACAGGCTTGTTCTTGATTGACTTTGCCCGCGTGGCAAACTGTAGAGAGAGAATGCACAGAGACATGGTAATAATAATAATAATAATATTCTGTGTTTATTTAGCGCTCAATTCATTGATCCGACGATGTGCCTAAGCGCTTTACAGATATATTATTACCCGTCATCAGATTCAGGCTCACCCACACACAATGTATGCACATTTTCCACTCCCGGGGGAGCATTCCAGCCAGTCGCCATTTTACAAGCGCACACTTGCTCGTCCAACCACATGAACGTTCGCATCCTACCGGGTACCCATTTAACACCTGGGTGGAGAGTAGCAAGTGCAGGTAAATATCTTGCCAAAGGATATTAGTCAGGATTCTAACCCTCGACCTTCGCATCTCCAGTCAAGCGCCTTAAACCAATCGACCAGTTGCTAACATCTATAAAAACAAATTTAAAGACTCTAGTAGAACCCAGTTCAAACTGAGTCATGTCCTGTAGATGGTGACATTGAAGGTCAGTCCCTGGGTGTTAAAGGGATCGTTTCACAATGTTAAATCTGAGATGCACGGCCCTACGTGTAATCAGTGTCTGTGATATGGTGTAATATTGAAACCCTAAAAAATTGCGCTTCAAAATGATCAAGAAGTCCCTCAAAAAAGTAAAAAATCTTTGAGTAACCGGTTTTACCATACTTGTTTTTCCCAATTGACTGTAGTGTTATGAAAACCGTTTGGCAAATGCAAAATTTGATTTCGATTTTCAATCATTAATATCTTGATAATCAGACAAGCGATCGGCTTGTAAAAGTCATGGGGTGCCTGACTGACCTAAAGGTTTATAATTATCATTGCAGCATGAGATAAATCAAGGATTTTTTAAAGGATCTAAGAAGAAGTTACCGGATCGCTTTAATATACCATTTTTTCACCGGGGATACCAAATGGTCCTACTGAAAGCTTGTGAATACTCATTCCCCATGGAAACCTATACAGAACGTCAGATTCTTTCCTAAATAACCTCAATGTTTCTTCTCTACAAACTTATCAAATCAATCCCTAATCCTGAATTAGACTCACTTGAAGAGTGGACAGCGTCTGTTCCAACGAGGCTGACGTGATGGTGCAGATGATGGCTGTCTTGGCGTTGCCGCCCAACGACGAGGAAAGGATCCGGGTGAGTTTGGAGTCACGAAATGGCACGAATTCTGCTCCGGAAGCCAGGCGATTGATTACCGTCCCAAGCACAAAGAGAGACTGGTTTATATTGCAGGATTCCTTCAATCTGGCGCCCTCTGCTTTCGTTTCGTTGGCGCGTTCTGACCCGGCAAGGTCAACCAAGTTCTGAGAGTTTGATAAAGAAAAAAATGTTACGATTTCACCTCACCTTCGGTATATCAATGTGCATCTAACAACCACACAGCCACCATGGCCATTGAATGTTCTCATCCTTGAGTCATAAAAGTGCAACTTCTTGTGGGGTACTTAATATTTTTGTAGCTTATTAGTTTCTTATGATGAAAATAATCTACAACCCCCAAAGAGTGAGTGGAGAACAGAAACATCTTCTCATGAATATCCTTTTTGGAGGAGAATCAGTTCTTCAATGAAAACTTGCTTGGGTTGAAGCATAACGATCAGAGAAACATACAAGTAGGAAGGGGAAAAGGTGTGTCCGATGGGCCACCGATTCAAAATATGTGATGGGGTTGTAGGTCAAATAAGGTTAAGAACTACTGTTAATACTTACCAGGTGAGAAACCTTGACAGCACATTCACCTACTTCCTTTCTCCCTCTTGACTCAATGATCTGGGGGAAGAAAATCAATGAATTTGAAGATACCCTATCCGAATCAGCCCTGTCGAAAATCTTTTCAAATGGATGTGAGAATGACCTTTTAATTACAGTGCCACAATACTGTTGTGGCACTGTGGAAACGTAATTATTGACAAATCACGTGACAAGATTTATATCCATTCCTCCTTAACTTATTCAATCCATCTTCCTAAACCAAGGTATTTAATACAAATGAAGCAATGTTGATATCCTTGAATTTTACAGAGTTTTTTCTTGAATCCCTGCATTAACGAGAGCTTATAACTTTCAGAGAACATGCTGTAGATGTAGTATGCATGTTGATCAGAAACAAAGTAAATAATTACATGGGTATTTCCCAAACAGAACAAACTACTCCAAGAGGAAACAGTATTTTCACCTGGCCTGACAAATAAGGTTCTTAGAGCTTTTATGTTTCAAAGTTACCTGAGTGAGGAAAGATTACTATTCTAGCCTTTTTACAACATTTAATTCCACGGTTGTGACTAAAACTGTGTATCGCCTTTAACCATGTAAATAAAGACAGCTAAAGACAGCTTACCAACATGATGTTTGTACAAATTACTTGATTTAAAAAATAAAAATAAAAATAAAATTTTATTTAAGACAGCTTACCATGCAAAATATGGTGTGGGAGCGACTGCTGTGTTCGTTCATATTGGTTCTCCCAACATGGCGTCTGGCGTCTCCTTTCCTCAAGAGGTTCAGAATCTGAATAGAGCTAGTACACACCTCCTCGGTCAGGTTACTCACATAGACACGCTCCTGGCATCATGAAAGACAAATACAAAAAGAAAAAAACATAGCCCATAAACAGCAGCTCATTCAATTCATCATCATTGTTTAAAAGGGGTTAACCATTAAAGAAGACAAAAATTGTGCAGAATGCAAAGTACTAGTAAAATTACACCATATCATTTGTTTGGAATAATATAATATAATTAAGAGAACAGGATACCTGCAGAGGGACAATAAAGGGAAAGGCAGACAAATTGTATGTAATTTTGAGAGACAGTGAGTGACAGAGAGAAAGAAAATCAAAGAAGAGGGAAAGAGAGAGAGAGAGAGAGAAAGAGGGTGGAGGGAGGGAGGGAGAGAGAGAGAGGGAGAGAGAGAGAGAGAGAGGGAGGGAGGGAGGGAGGGAGGGAGGGAAGGAAGAAGGAAGGGAGGGAGGGAGAGAGAGAGAGAGAGAGAGAGAGAAAGAGAGAGAGACAGAGAGAGACAGTGAAAGTAAGAAGTAACCTTACCCCATTCTCTCTGATGCTGAGCTGTTTCTTCTCATCGGAGAGGAGATCTGTGATTCCCTCATTGTACAGCTCTGCGTAGCTCACTCTAAGCAAGAACTCTCTGTCAGGGGTCTATGTGAACAAAGATTGTGGAAGAAAGACAAAGTAGTTGGAACGAGAATGTCGCAGGTTCTAATGCATTGCATCATAATATCTTGACTCTACTTTAACAAACAAATCTAACATATATCTAGAGACATAGTAATATCTCAAGGCCAATAAGGCCCTATTTGCAGTAAACTGCATGTGATAGACTGACTTTAAAAAAATCACATCAGCAAAATCCAAATGACACTGAGGAAAAGTGTTCAATATTTTTACAGCTTATATTGAAATTGAAATTGAAATTGAAATTGAAATTGAAATTGAAATTGAAATTGAAAAGGTTTTATTGATTGCACTTCGCAGCCAGATGGCTGAATTATGAACAATTTACATTGGCAATGAATTATAATACATACAAATGTGGTTGACATTATCACAAAGTATAATATACAGTATATAACAAAATTCATAACAAAGTTCGTAACTAATATGACTAAGGCAATAAAAGGCAAATTAATTCACGTTTAAAATATATTTTGTGACGTGACACAAGAGTAGGTCAAAGGATGAGCAAGCAGGCCCTTTGCTCTTCAATACACGCTTTCATTCCTATACACGCTCCTATTCTCACTCCTGTACCTTGGACACTCTCATAAACACTCCCATTTACACTCTTATACACACTCCCATTCACACTCTCATTCACACTCCCATACACTAGCTAACGGTCTGCTCGCTCATCCCTGGACCTCTCCTGTGTCAAGGAGTGTCGGATATTTAAAAAAAAATAAACAACACAAGCAAGCTCCTTCCCGACTTTCGTAAATTGGGGATAAATAAGCAAATGAATTAAAAACTTGAACACCATTTGATCTGAATTGCCATGTCATGATTGCTACAAAACCTTATCACTATTCAATGTACATTTTAAAAAGATGTTACAAGTAATTATGGAAGCATAGAATTTAAAATTTAAAATGCGGAATGTAAAATGTAAAAATGTAAAAATGTATGCAGACAATGAGACACCGGACCATTCAACAGGTAGACAATTAAGATTCATTCATGCATTCAACAGGTCTATTAGGTATGGAATTGAGCTATTTCTATAGCGGTTCGTTTTACAATGAAATTGACGATACTTGGTCCTTCTTCGCAGTGAATAATCTACATTATTGTTAACAGGTAACCAATGTTTACAAAGTGGGTTGTTGACAAGAGATGAAGCAAAATTAGTGCATAATTGTTTGCGTCTATCTGACAGGGTCTGCAAAGAACACACTTCAAGAGCTTTGTCATAATTAATATATTGATCACCTAGTATGGTCCTACATGCTCTTTTCTGGATTCGTTCCAAACTTAAGATATGACTTTGGGTGAGGTTTCCGTTAAAAACAGGTACTCCATAATCCAATATTGGGCGAATATATCCCTTGTAAATTGTTACTAGATCACAGAAAGGTAATCTGTATGTTTTGAGAATACGAAGCATGAAAAGTTTTTTAATAGCACGGCATAAAAGGTCTGAGATATGACTGTCCCATTTCAAATCGGACTGCACAGTTATTCCTAAAATTTTTGCTTTTTGTACACTGTTTAAGCACTCATCCCCAATAAACAAAGGTCTCTGATCAGCTATATTCTTAGAAAAAGAGATAAACATACAATGACATTTCGATGGATTAAGAGTCATGTTATTACGAAGAGACCATTGATAAAACTCAGATAAAGTATTTGGTAATTTAGATGGTTGTGATAATGTACGACTTTCAACTAATGTCAGATCGTCTACATACTTGAAGTATGGTACTTCTGAGTTAAAACAAGCATCATTTATCATTATTAGGAAAATAATTGGTCCTAATTTTGTACCCTGTGCCAGTGGCGGATCCAGGGGGGGGGGCCCGGGGGCCCGGGCCCCCCCCCTTGAGAAAAAAATCATGTAAAATCACGTGATTTTTACCTTTTTTTGGGGTTGGGCCCCCCCCCCTGGCGCTCAAGGGGGGGGTGCAAATTGAAATTTTTTTGAGGATCAAAAAAAAAAATGTGCTCACTACCCCCCCCCCCCCCCCCCCCCCCCCCCCCCCCCACTGAGCGAATTTTTGGCCGGCGCGTTTTTCAAATTTTCGGGAGCAAAAAAAAAAAAAAAAAAAAAAAAAAAAAAAAAAAAATTGTGCTCTGTATGACACCAACCCACCCCCCCCCCCCCCCACTTAGCGACTTTTCGGCCGGCGCGATTTTCAAATTTTCGGGAGCAAAAAAAAAAAAAAGTTGGGCCCCCTCCCCTAAGAAATCCTGGATCCGCGCCTGCCCTGTGCTACACCGGCATGAGACGTTGACCAGTCTGAAAAATGACCAAGATATTTCACACGTTGTTGACGGTGTTCAATAAAATCTAAGATCCATGAAATAATACAAGGCCGAACATGAAGGTGGATTAACTTATTGGCAAGTATATTATGGTCTATACGATCAAATGCTTTTGAAAAGTCTGTAAATATAAGTGTAGATATGGACCGAGAATTTTCTGCATTTTTATAAATCTGGTGAAGCAAACGAATTAAGTAATGATTAGTTGACAGACTTTGACGGTTTCCGTATTGATTAAAATCAATTTGAATTGAAATGTCTTCGAGTAACCATTTACATATATAAGACTCAGCTATTTTCGCAAAATAACTGGTTAGTGCTATAGGTCTTAAATTCTGAGGTATAACAGGCTTACATTTAGGAATTGGTGTGATCTCACATCGTTTCCACTGATATGGTACCACTGACAACTGGAAAGAAGTGTTTAAGATATCAGTAAGAGGTGTACAAAATTCCAGTGCAAACTCTCTAAGAATTCGCACTGGTAAGTCTCCACTTATAACAGACTTTTGTTGGTTTAACGAACTCAATTGTTTAAAAACTTCATAAGGTCGTACAATCGGACATGTTTCCTGAGCTGGTAAGTAAGCAGGTAAATCATTCCTACTAAGACCTGGAAGATCGGATGCCACCACTAAAAAATGCTCGTTTATATAATTAGCAATATATTTGAATTTGTCGGGGTCATTCGGGTCAATATTTGGTACTACAATTGGAGTATGTTTCTTTTCAGTATTTGTTAAAATCCGAATCTGCTTATACCAAGCTGCTGGGCTGTCACTTTTTAAGTTGCGAACTCTGGTGTTATAATATGAAATCTTCTGTCGTTTTATCAACCGTTTAACCTTGTTTCTAAGATGATGCCACAAACTTTTTGATTTGTTATTAAAAGCTTGCTGTCTTTGGCGGATAACATCTTTAACTTCAGCATTTATCCAAGGCTTATCTCTACTATGCAAACGAATCTCCTTAGTAGGAACATGTATATCCAACTGAGACTGAATTGTATCTAAAAACATTTTACATTTCATAGATGGGTCTTTTACACTGAACATCTCTTCCCAAGTATACTGAGTTAACCAACTACCAAATGACCTTTTTCCACTATCCGGAATAGGGCGAACAAGCTTTTTCTTTACTCGGTTACTGCGATTTATCTTATCTTTGGGTAGCCAAAGTATGCAGTTGTGGTCACTCATACCAATAGGCGGTAATATTTCCACTTCTTTATACAATAAAGCAATAGTGGTTACAATCATGTCAAGAATATTAGACCCTCGAGTTGGTTGTGTAACAATTTGTTTAAACTTATTATTTTCAAGTAAAACTGACAGATAAGCAAGTATGATAATAGGAGTCTTTTTTGTATGCAACTAATGTTTTATCACCCCGAACTTGCCATTTAAACTGTTTTTATTTTGCTGTGCCAGTTTTTTCTTTTTTTTCTTATGCTGGTTACCATTGTCTTTAATATGTGACCAAGCCTTAAAGTTAATGTGTCAAAGATCTTGAATTTGGACTTAAATGAATATTTATATATGGACTAACATTAAAAACAGTGTCTTTCAAAAGAAATTGGACGTCTATAAAAGCCCAGACACCCTCCCGGCTAAAATCCTGGCATGCGGTGACCTCAATATGACACACTTACATTTTCAATGGTCTCAAACACTTCATTGATGGTGCTTGGGATGATACCAGGGAGAGACGAGAGCCTTGCATGGTGAAGGTTTTGCCACTGCTGGTTTGTCCATAAGCAAAAATTGTTCCTAGAAATTCATAAATAGACTTTAATAATCAATAAAAATTGAATAAACATGAACAATAACATACATAGAATTTCACAAATTATCAATTTTATCAGTAAAATGGTTCCCATTGTCAAATATACGATAATAATATTTCGCTTTGATATAGCTCTTAATACATTGATGATGTCTCTTAGCGCTTTACAAATATATTATTACCCCGGTCAATCAGATTCAGGCTTGCCTGCACACAATGTATGCAAATTCTCCACTCCCTGGGGGAGCATTCCATCCAGGCGCCATTGTACAGATGCACACAATGCTGAGCAAACTACATTAATGCTCGCATCCTACATTTAACATCTTGGTGGAGAGCGGCAAATGTAGATTATCGTCTTGCCAAAAATCGTTAGTGCCGGGCTGGGATTTGAACCTTGTACCTTGTGGTCTGCAGTCGGGCGACCTTTCCACTAAACCACCTAAAACACCTCCATGATGTGGTCATGCAACAAAACTGGAAACTGTATATATGCATATTGCATAAGTTTCCATCCTTTCTTTTGATGCATCTGGTATATTTTTAATGGCTCTGAATTAGAAGTTACTGACCCAAACCACAAAATGTGAATGGTTATCAATACCCTTGTTGAGAGAATATATCCTTGTTACTTATTTGTTCCAGTCCCCCACGCATGGTACGAACACCAAGAGTTTCATGAACTAGCAAGAATGCTTTATACATGTGCAGTTGTGCACAAAATGATAGCTTACCATCATACCCATCCATGGCAGAAGAAATGATTGGTAGAGCAATTTCTTCATATACATCCAAGGTTGTCTCATTTTCATCAAAGACACGATCTTGATAACGAGAAGACAAAAATATGGGGTATTAATACCCTAATTAATACAAAATATACATCAAGTAATACATAAACATTAAGGTGACAACATAATTATTTTTAAATCATATTCATTACATATAATACATGTACCAAATATACAAAATTCAGTCGTGAAAAATGAGCTTTAAAAACTGTAAATTGGCAACATGCTGAAAAGTTCACAAAAACCTTTTCCCCACAAAATATAATGCAATAAAAAATAATAATACTTTTTCTATACAAAGAAAAGCTGATAAATTTATTCTTTTAGAATTCATATGCTGAATGGGATGTTTAATTTTCATTACAGGCATAAAACAGACTTCTAAGCAATGTTTTATTACCGAATGTGTAGGGCTTGCCAGCGGGCTTCACTCTGGCATCGTACTGCTGCACGTTCTTGCCCTCTGCCCTCCAATGATGGTGTGCATCGTTCTCACTCTCTCTGATGATGGAATAATAATTGCAAACATTTATTAAATTGGCAACAAACTGGACGAAGACAAGTAAAGATGGATAAGGTGGTAGTTCTGTTAGAATGAAACTCAGCTTTTTCAATACTAAACAATAGAAAAACAAACCAACAGAAGTCACATCCCCCCCCAAAAAAAAAAAAAATAAATAAATAAAATGTATATCAGTGAAACCCGTCTGATAAATACCACCCAAGGGAGACAAGAAAAGTGGTCTTTACAGACAGGTGGTCTTTATGTACAGGTTCCTTTAGTACATGTTTCAATGAGAAACCATTTTCAAGGGAAACAAAATATGTGGTCTTTGTAAACAGGTGGTTGCTAAACCTGGTTTGGCTGTACATTAATACATTTAAAAGGAGGTTGATCAAATGATCCTAATAAGAGGGGATCCCTACAATCTCACTCTGGACCAGTGTACAAATACATCTGCTAGGAACCACGAAAGCTCTCTTTGAAAGAAATATAATTCTGCTGCATCAATTCTCATGAATTTTGTATGTATTTTACCAGAGCTCTTTTAGGGCTTTGCTGTACGTGTGCAGAGCCTAATTGCTCACGACTCCAGTCCACCCTTTTCACTACTCCAGACCCCATCATATCAAAACGTAAACATCAGACAGGTGAACTGCATACATAACCATAATTATGCTCTCGAGTTGGAGTCCGACTACCCCAGCAAAATAGCTAGTGTATGGCCCTGTCCCTTACCTTTTGATGAATGGCCTCAAACGGATTGCCACATGGACATTATCCATTTCTGCTCCTCAATTCTGATCTTCAAGTAGACTACAAAAACAAAGAAAACAAGGAGGGGATATAATTATTAGTATCATCTCTGTGAGGCAGGAAGGGGAGTGGCTCATATCATTTTACACAAATTTGATTATTAAAGCCCTTCTGGAAGTTCTGGCTAACAGACAATAGAAAATATCTAAAATTTTGAAGGAGCATGTTTGATTTCTGTTTGCTGAAAATGACCTGTCCCTATGTCAGGAAAAGCATGGCATCTGCCATCATTTTATGAATCCATCCTAAGAACAAGTTCCATTAAAACACGTAATAGAATTAAGACATGTTTCAATGGGATGCCGGTGACTCAGTGAGGTTGTCTTTATGACAGTTTTGTGAAACTGACATTTACATTGCTGATACATTACAGACACAAGTCATGTCAGGATGTCAGATATGTAGATCTACATATTTCTTCCATCTACTTCTGGAAATTCTGAGCAACTATTAGTGTATTATTTTTTTTTGAATTGTTGTAAAACTAAAAGCAAGAATTCAAATTCTCATGTCTGATGTTGAGCTGAGCTGAGTAGACATCTAAATTTATTAATGTTTTCATTTCTTCTCTCATCTCAGCAACAGAAACTAGATCTAAGCAACCAAAATCATGAAAATTACCACTCTCACTCATCATTAACTGACTTGTGTTAACTGTTGGATTTTACAAGAAGAAAAAATGCAGTTAGTAACAACTTGACTACAGTCTTGAACTAAAATCGAATTCTGAGGAACATTCAACAGTTCAACAGTTAGCCATTTATAAACAGAATTTGAAACTGAAACTGAAAGATTCATGAAATCGTGAAACTGAACACGCTGAAGTGAACACTAGCTGCCTGGCCAGGTGAACTTAAATTTTAAAAAATAAAAATAAAAAAAGAACCAAAATGTGTGACTGTAAGCTTGTAGATCTAGACTAGAGTCTAGGGGCCCGTTCCTAGATCAATAGAAACCGTCATAAGTCTAACTTCTTGACTAAATCAGCGTTAGTGAGCGACTTGTCCGCTACGTGTTTCACAAAGCCCTCTTTGCCAAGATCAACGACAACATCCTGACTAAGTAGTTATGATGCCTCTGACACTGTCATATCTAGAGCTGTCATAACTCTTTAGTCAATGGGCAGCGCCATCACATGTCATTTATTGGGTAGACTATGGCTGGCAAAAAGGACTACAAATCCCCCAACTATGATTTTTCTACTCATTCACTTAAACAGTGAGGTTATCGATTTTTGTATTTGATAATCTTATGAAAATATGCCATGTTTATATTTAAGGATTTTCCCATGTTTATAAACTGATTAGGTCTATACGCCTTTATTTCCACATTGTAAAATCCTTGAAGGGATGGGTATTCTGCCACGGCAGGCAAGCCATAGTTCGAAGTGTATTCTTTAGTTTTCAGACCCATATTGCTTTCGAGATAAACTCTATCTTCAAATGTGTGAAATGAAATGAATAGTTTAAGACATGTGTTTTATTCTTTGGAATGTTGAAATTTTGTCATTTAAATAATTTACTGACGCCTAAAACATTGGACAAAACTTTCAAAACATTGTATTTTTACTAAGAATATTTTAAGGCCAATAAGGGTGTATTTTTATAAACTATCAAATGAAAATATCCGGGGGGTACCCATCTCAAGAACAAAACTGATTCACCGGTCATGTAATGAAATACTCACAATTATATTTTTAAAATACTTCTATTGTATAATCTACACAAATTTTGAAGTAGATCTAGGCCTATATTGCATCTCTTATTTCCTGGTACTAGACTACTTGCCCTCTTTTTTATTCCTCATTCAAATAAATAATTGCAGTTTTCCTAAAAAAAAAAAATTTTTAAATCTATGGGTATTGCAACTATTAAAGGCTAAGTATCGATCTCACAAGATATCTATCTAGAAGTCTAAGTAAGCTCTCTGTGAAACGGTTTAGGAAGATCAGAGACATCTAGACTCTAGTTGGCCGTTGGCGGATAAAGTTATATCCGTCTGTCTTGTCGTTGGTTTCCAGGAACGAGCCCTAACGTTAGACCTCTAAATTCTAATCTCTATTCAATCAAAATTCAAATTCATAATCCTGATACTGATAGACCTAGGCCTAAATCTAACCATTCTTATTTGTTTTCTTCTTCTTTTTCTCTTTCTTTGATTTGAATTTGTAAATTTAGTTCAGCTGTAACTTAGATCTAGTTAGGCCTAGGGGTCTAGAATCTAGATCTAGTATAGACCGAATTTTCCGTCTCTTTCGTTCGTTAGCCTCTTATTGGGGTAGGGTCGGCCGGCTCTCTCTTTAGAGACGGAAACCGTCTATACACATTCCCTTGATAACGCCACGGCCATTTCAGGTCGTAGCGTTTTGCCCCCAAAATCCCCCAAAATATCATTTTACCTCGTGCATGTTATATTGTAAATTAGGCCTAGATCTAGGCTATAATAAATCAGTTCCACTTACCAACTTGACTGAAATAATCAGTTTAATAGTCCCTTTTTAGGAATTTATGGGTCGAAATCGAAATCCATGTTGAAAAAGATTTTCAAAATGGATTTCGATTTTGACCCATAATTTCCTTAAAAGGGACCATTAAACGGATTATTTCAATCAAGTTAGTAAGTGGAACCGATTAATTATAGCCTAGATCTAGACCTAATTTGCAACCTAACATGCACGAGGTAAAATGATATTTTGGGGAATTTTGGGGGCAAAACGCTACGACCTGAAATGGCCGTGGCGTTATCAAGGGAATGTGTATAGACGGTTTCCGTCTCTAAAGAGAGAGCCGGCCGACCCTACCCCAATAAGAGGCTAACGAACGAAAGAGACGGAAAATTCAGTCTAGATCTAGACCTAGTAAGTAGTAGAGTCTAGTCTCTAGAGATCTACATCTAGATCTAGATCTACGGATTGACGATAGCAACCCTGTCTGCATAAAACATGTCAGTACCGTGTAGACTAGAAGATAAATTTGACTTAAGTTATAATTTATAACATTAAATTTTGAAAACAAAGTCAAGAAAATAAAGTCGGAAAATTCCCACCCGCACCTGGCGCCGCTGGCCTGCATGCTGCACCACCGAAACCGCGCCCCGCCGCAATGTCACCAGCCCCTGAGTTCTGGCGAGACAGAGCAGCGGTGACGCCCGTTCATTTTCTGTTAGGCCTATGTAGTATGTAGCCTACGGAGTACGGTATTATTATTAGGTCGCCATACATTTGAATCAAGACAGCAAGCTATGAATTCTACTATCTATCATTTGGTTATTAGACCCTACACTAATTTAGCTCTAATTAACAAAAGAAAGCCATACCTGTAAATCGAGGCTGATATCTTCAATCTTAAGTTTTAAGAGAAAGCCGCACAATGAATGCACAAGCTCGTTGATTCGATGTCCGCACGGCATTTAAAATTCAAATTATCCGCTAAAGTTCGTTGAACTAATCTGCCCAAATCCGACCGATTTTAAATACTATGGTGTCTCTAAGGAAAAAATAATTGAAGGGCGCAAAATCAGAAAAGAGATAAAGAGAAAGGAAAGAAAAATCATTGTGATCCTTATTATTATATGATTGCAATGGTTAGAATACCAATGAAACAAATTAGTGAACCATGGAATGAACATGAAAGGAGGAGGAAAAGACATTAACAATTGGGAGAGTGATTGTGATAGATGACACTGTAGAGATGGGGATCAAGAGAGAATGATGACATACATGATACAATACAACATTCTGTTCAAAATAATTATAACTTTACATTCGGTTTTATCCACAATGAACTTTCTATTTTAAAACTAAACAATTTATATAGGTTTGTTATGTAGCGGTAGAATCAAACACCCCCCCCCCCCCCCTGCTTAGTAAAAGTGATTAAAAGAGGAAATGGAGCAATGATAACATGTTTCAAAATATCACCCTCCATTCATTCATTCATTCATTTGTATACAATGTATTAAATGCTTTAACTTCTCTCAAAAATTTGAGAAGAGGGAGAAGAGCTTCTTTTTCCAAACAAAGGGAATGTTATTGTAGTGGTAAAATCCAACCCCCCCCCACCCCCTTCTTAGTAAAAGTAGTGTAAACTCAGAGGCGGCGGACCCGGGGGGCAGGGGGGCACAGTGCCTCCCTCCCCCCCCCCATTTTTCAAGTACCAAACAAGTGCCCCTTTTTCCATGGGAAAAGTGCCCCTTTAACTTTGTAAGAAGTGCCCCTTTTTACATAAAAAGTGCCCTCTTACTTTGATATGTGCCCCTGTTAATTTTTAAAAGTACCCCCTCTCCTTTCCACCTCTGATATGTGCCACTTTTATTTTGACACGTACCTCTTTTACCAGACAAGTTCCCAGTTTCCTTTGCAATAAGTGTCTATTTTCCATTCTCATAAGTGCCCTCTTTAATCTCTAGTAAGTGCCTCTTTTCGGATACGAGAAGCGCCCCTTTTCACTTTTTTACTTTCACTCTTTTACTTTGACAATTGCCCCTTTTCCTTTGTAAGAAGTGCCCCTTTCCCTTTTAATAACTACCTCTTTTTAACTCGTATAAGCGCACCTTATATTTTCACATTGAGCCCACTTTCCTTTCTAATAAGTGCCCCTTTTCCTTATGATAAGTCCCCCCATTTAACAAAGAGCCTTTCGCCTTTTCATAAATGCCCCTTTTCACCTATGAAAATAGTCCTTTTTCATTCTCCTACTAGTTCTCCTTTTCATGTCTGGTAAATGACGCTATTAAATTCTGAGAGACAATCGTTTTATTTTGACAAGTGCCTCCTTTTCCTCCTGATAAGTGCTCTTTTCATTTCTAATAACACCCCCTTTTATTTTGACACGTGCCCCTTTTCCTTCCTAATAAATGCTCTTTTTCCTTCATAATTTCCGCTTTTCATAAAAGCCCCCTTTCACCTCCAATAAATGCCCCTATCAAAATCTGATCGGTGCTCCTTTTCTTTCAACAAATGCACATTTCCCTCTATTACTTTATTATTAGTGCCCCTTTTTCATTCTCATAAGTGCCTCTTTCATATATGGCGTTTGCCCCTTTTCAGGTGCGATAAGTGCCCCTTTTCACCTCTGATAATTAATCTTTTTTAACAATGATACATGCCCCTTTTCCTTTCCTTATTTTCTAATAAGTGTCTTATCCCTTCGATAAGTGTCCCCCTTTCCTCTCATCATTAAACGTGCCCCTAATTTCAAGCGACTAAGAGCAATATCTCCCAAAGCTCGCTCGCTATACGCTCGCTCACATTTATAGATGTTATAATTATGTTACTTATCAAAGGTCTTTTCAGTTTGCTGTTATGAAAATGTGCTTATTTATAACCCGATGAGGATTGTTTTTTCCTCTTTATAAGATGTAGTTTTCGCACTGTGACCTCACAAATCTTATATTTTTCCCCGCTCGCAAATGATTTTTTCGACCATCACAACCAACTGCAAGGTATGATGCTTTAAAAAGCAATATTATTTACGATGTATAAAGAGAAACAAATATTGAAATCATCCCTGATAATGTTATCAAATTTTAGGGGTATATACCAATGTCTAAAAATTGTTTATTTTCGCTTTGAGATTTCCCTTTGTAGGTGCCCTTTTTTCACAGAAAGTGCCCTTTTTTTTGGTGCCCCCCCCCCACTTTGGAAGTCGCTCCGCCGCCTCTGTGTAAAATAATAAAAATAACCTCTCACCAATTTATCTCTAAAACACCAATCATCCAAACCATTGCCAAACCCACTCAAATCCTCACTTTAAAGGAGTCCCTTCTTGCCTGATTATAAAAATATTGTCACCTAAGGGGAAATGGTGTACATCTTTTTAAAAACATGAAGTCCCTTGAAGGTCCTTCATTAAAAATTAAAAAAAATTAAAATTTACCAAAATTTACCAACTAAACATACAACGCTTCGGACTGCACACTAATACCGGCAAAGTAAAAGTGAAAAAAACTAAATAGCTTGTTTTTACACCAGTGGTGGATCCAGGATTTGTCGATAGGGGGGGGGGGGGGCTAAAATGTGAAAATCGCGCCAACCAATATTGCGCTCATGGGGGGGGGGGGGTAAGGAGCATAATTGTTTTTTGTATATGCACCCTGAAATTCGCGCAGACCGTTATTTTCGCTCAGTGGAGGGGGGGGGGGGGGTAGTGTGAGCACTTACTAAAATAATTATATCAAAATTTTCCTCTTTTTTTCCACCCCGTGGATCCGCGCCTGTTTACAACATAGTTTTGCAAAGGAATGTAATTTTTTTTTCATACAAAAAAACAAAAACCTGTCTGCATGCGAGGTCACTTCCGTCACCTTCCGTCCCTCTCGTTCTCTAGACTCCCTCTTCCCTCGTATTTCGCCCCCCCCCGGTCATGAAAAGAATCGCCGCCCCTGAAGTGTCTTATCCCTTTCGATAAGTGTCCACTTTTCCTCTCATCATTACGTGCCCCTAATTTAAAGCTACTAAGATCAATTTCCCCCAATGCTCACTCGCATTTAGTGATATAATTATTTAATGTATTTGATTTGATTTGATTTGATTTGATTCATTTATTTAAGCACGGTAGAAGCCGTGTTCAGCTATTTGATTGGTTTACAATTGGGCCATACAATAATTTGTACAATGATGTAACAACAATTTACAACAAATGCATACACTGTACAAATGATAAAAGACAATCTTAGGTAAAGAAATATGAAAGATTCGGGTATAAAACAAAACGTATAAATAATCAATCAACCAGTGGCGTACCTGGGGTACTCCGTCAGGGGGGGGGGGGGGGGCAAGCGACCGAAACAAACAAAAAAGGCGATGCTAATTTTCACTTCTGGCGAGCGAGCGAGCGAGCAAAAAAAAATCTTTAAGTAACGTTTGGTATATAAACTGATATTGTTGCAAGTTGGGGGTGGGAACATTCACTTGTTAGCGACGTTAATTTTATTTTTTTGCAAACTAGTGTAGCGAGCAAGAAAAAAATCACTTCTTTTTTAATAATTGCCACTTAAACTTGGTTCAATTGTCCCATGCAGGGCGCGGGAACAATATTGTGTTTAGGGTGATTTTATACCCATTTTAGCTAGCGAGCGAAAATACATCTTTCTCTCAATGAATTGCTATATAAAATTTGTTTCATTGTTGCAGGTAGGGGGCGGGCACAATCGTGTTTAAGGCAATGTCAATCCCATTTTGGCGGGCAGGCAACCCCCTACATTTCTCTTTTTAATGATATTGTAGCAGGTTAGTGCAGTGGCGGATCCAGGGGGGGGGCCCGGGGGGCCCGGGCCCCCCCCCCCCTTGAGAAAAAAATCATGTAAAATCACGTGATTTTTACCTTTTTGGGGGGTTGGGCCCCCCCTGGCGCTCAAGGGGGGGGGGGTGCAAATTGAAATTTTTTTGAGGATCAGAAAAAAAAAATGTGCTCACCACACCCCCCCCCCTCCCCCCACTGAGCGACTTTTCGGCCGGCGCGATTTTCAAATTTTCGGGAGCAAAAAAAAAAAAAAAAGTTGGGCCCCCTCCCCTAAGAAATCCTGAATCCGCGCCTGGGTTAGTGGTGGGCACATAATTCCACGAGCTAGCGAAAAAAAAAAATCACTTTTCTTTTATAGGGAAAATATGGTACATAAAACTTGGGTTCATTGTTCCATGTCAGGGACGTGATTATTAAAAGCGGTGTTAATTCTATTTTGGCGAGCGAGCGTAGCGAGCGAGCAAAAAAAAATCACTTCTCTTTATAGGGAAAATATGGTATATAAACTTGGTTTAATTGTTCCATGTCAGGGACGTGATTATTAAAAGCGGTATTATTTCTATTTTGGCGAGCGAGTGTAGCGAGCGAGCAAAATTTTTGTAATGATAATTGGTTCATAAATTTCAGATTTTTTTGTTGCAGGGCAGGGCTTACACAATTATGTCTAAGGTGACGTTAATTCCGTTTTGGCGAGCACGAGCACACCAAAACTTCTTTGAATAACGTTTCGTTCATAATTATTAACTGGTTGTTGCAGGTTATGGCGGGCACGTTAGCGGTGTCAATTCCATTTTGGCGAGCGAGCATAGCGAGCAAGCAAAAAAAAAAAATTCTCTTTTAATAGAATTTAATAAATAAACTTGTTTTTATTGGTGCAGGTCAGGATGGACGCAATCGCGTTTAACGCGATTCAATTCCTTTTTGGCGAGAGGGCGAAAAAACTCTTCCATTTTTAATGATATTGTTGCAGGTCAAGGGTGGGCACAATTGTTTCCAAAGCAATGTCTATTCATTTTATTCGCGAGCGAGTGTAGCGAGCGAGAAAAATGAATTAGTCTCTTTTAGTAACATTTGGTACATATATTGTGTGTTATTGTTGCCATGGTTGCAGGTCGGGGCCCGTCGGGGCAGGCACAATTGTATTCTAGGCAATACTAATCCTTTTCTTTTTTCAGGGGGACGAGGAAGTGAAAACATTTAATACAAAATAGGCTAGCAAGCAGTTCGCGCCAGCGAAGAGTTTCAAATTTGTTATATCACTTATATTTTCCTATTTTCATTTGTTTTAATTTTTCAGGGCCGTATGCGGAATATTTTTCTGATGGGGGAAGGGGGAAAGATGCGTTAAAAGTTTTCGAAGAATCTCAAAAGCAAAAGGAGTGAAGGGAGTTCGAGCGACTGAACTGGTCATGAGGGTACTTTTGCATTTTCAAAAGTAGAATTGAAGGATTTGGTATAGGCCTACACTACATTTTCAGGAAAAAAACTGTACGATTTCAAAATATCTGGGGTCAACTGCCCCCCCCCCCTGGTGCTTACGGCCATGTTCTTTATTTTTTTTCCCCCCATTTTTATTCCTTTCCTTTTCTTTTCCCTTTTTCTTTTTCTATATAAGAACTAGCTATTATTATTATTATTATTATTCCTTTTTTCTTCTTCTTCCTTTTTTCTTTCCTTTTTTTCCTTTTTTCTCTTTCTTTCCTTTTTTCTTTCCTTTTCCTTTTTTCTTTTTCTTTCCTTTCCCTGTCTTTTCTTTTCTTTCCCCTTTTTCTTTTTTTCCCCTGGAGCCCGTCAGGGGGGCACTTTGCCCCCCTGCCCCCCATAGGTACGCCAGTGCAATCAACCAAACAAACAGTATAATTATCAACTTTGATCAGATGATGAAAGTAAATGTGTTTATACTACCCTCAACAGGATTGGGATTTCACTCTTTATTAGACGTAATTTTTCGCACTGCGACCTCACAAATCTTAATTTATTTCCTCGCCTCGCTCGCTCGCAAATGTATATTCAGACCATCACGCCCAACTGCATAGTATGTATAAAATAATAGAAACAAATATTGAAATCATCCCAGATCATGTAATCACAATGTAAGGGTATGTAACAATGTCTAGAAAATTGTGTATGTTCGCCTTGAGATTTCCCTTTGGAGGTGCCCTATTTTTTTCTCTCCAGAAAGTGCCCTTTTTTGTTGGTGCCCCCCCCCCCATTTCCACAAACAAACTAAAAGCCCCGCCTGACTTAATTGTGATCATTCTCCGCCCCGCCCCTTTCCGATTCCAATCTTGCAGCCTAGACAGAGACAGACAGAGAGACAAAGACTGAGAGAGACTGAGAGAGAGAGAGAGAGAGAGAGAGAGAGAGAGAGAGAGAGAGAGAGAGAGAGAGAGAGAGAGAGAAGGGGAAGAGAATTACAGACCATTACATAAGGTGCAAACGGAAATACATGCGATTTGGACATTTAGTTCTACGAGGGCTGGAGCACGGTCGGTTGTGGGGTGGGTTGTGCCCCTTCCTCCAAAGAAGAGGTATGACCTGTTCGCCTCCTTTTGCCGATGCCCACTAACCCCGCCACCAACACCGGCCCCCTCTTGAATAGTTGAAAAAGACAAGTATCGTATAGAGCCCCTGAAAGCAAGGGATGGACATTCTTTGATCGGAGATCAATGATCTTTGATTCCGATCATTGCAAACAAAATTAAACTGAAAAAGCCAAAAACAGTTACCTCTCCTCCCCCCCCCCCTCCTCACCCCCTCCCCCCCCCCCCCCCTACCCTCAGCCCATCCCGCTTCCATCACCAAATTACGCAATCACAACAACCAAATTAGTACCGATATCAGGCTAGGGACGAAAATTAATTTTCCTGATCGGCGGCAGGCCAGGCCAGGCTAACCAAATCTTTGTTTACATCGCATGACTGATCATCAACGTACGTACTCGAATAGCTCGCGCGGGGTCGTAGCGGTCAAAGTTGAAGTAGACGATCGCAGGTCGCATTTGAAGTGTATTTTGCCTAAGCACATTGTTTGTGCATTGGTTATGTTGCACACTAGGATCAGTAGGAAGGTGTAGACTATATCACCAATAAATGACGAAAACTGATGGTATTTCCGCTGCAGGTGCAGGTACCGTACCAATGCAATTCTAACTTAGCTAATAACGAGTCGGTAGCGAGAGGCACTTTCTCTGCTCTGTACACGCATTCTGCTTTCCCAAGAATAGCTGAACACCAGCAGCCTTGAGTAAAAAGTGTTTGGCTAGAGCCGGAGCCTAACTTTAGAGGTTTATCGGAGGCCTTGAGTTGAGCATGATCTCTCGCTCTCGCTCTCATGCAACTGAAAGAGAAGGATCAGATCGAGAATAAACATTGTTTGATTGTAATGTTGTATCTTCGAATTTAACTCGGATTAGACGAGGCGAGGCGAGGCAAGCAACATCATGGAGCTCGACTGGATGCAAATAGTCGTGATCAGTGTGTTGCTGGGACTGATACTTTTGTATGAGCTGAGCAACACATTCAAATATTATGCTAAGATGACTCTCTATTACACATTGCTGCAGATTCAGGCATTGATTATCATCATTTTGTCACTTCCCAGGCCTCGAGATCCTTCAAATCATCGGTAAGAATGTAACTTGATTACCTTTATCACAAGACCAATGCCATGGGCTCCTCCGCTCCTGACATCAGAGAGGCAAAAATTGCCTTGTTCTTCATGTTTCTTGTGTTCTTCTTAAAGCTAATTTTCCAATCCAGATCAGGAGTCGCTCCACCTCTCTCAAATGCGACTTAACTGATTTTGACATTAATCGTGTAGTCTATGCTTAATTTTGTAAAGTCCTCTCAATGCTAAAGTGATACATTAATGATCATAATAATTAATTAAGTCGATTGAAGTCACACTAGATCTAGATTTGTTGATGTTTAGTAATGTCTTGAAACTAATTAATGTGATAGTAAAAAATTAAATTTATTTGATATCTCTTTGATAATTCTCTTTTGTTAACAATATACAATGTATATATGATGATGATTTACTTAAGTCTTGACAGAAAAATTTGTCGTCATGGAGGAGCGTTTAAAAACAGATTTTATCTTTTGGTGCTCTCCTCCAGAGATTTGACGAGGAACGTATATTCCCGAACAAATAGGTTGATTTTTCAGCTTATGATAATAAACATCTAGACTCTCCAATACAATGATCATGATACATGATTCACTAATCATCAAGAACAGTAGCAGGCCTAAATGTACATTGGATCTTTTTTAATCTTTGTTTGAACTTTGAAGTTTTGATGTAGATTCATAACCGTTTCTGATTATTCGTTGCCATCTCTTGCTCAAGGAATGCGCCGCAGGGGATTCGGGGAGCGGTCTTTATCCCTTTTTGCGGAAGTCTGCTCGTGGTCACCTGGTCGGGTTTTTTTAATGTGTGTTATCGGGTTGTTCATGCTGGAATTGCAGGAGCCTGTTTCCCCGAGCCCCCCGCAGCTGAGTTAGGACTTTAGCTTTACATTGTTTTATACTATCGTATAAATTATTGCTGCTGTGTTTTATTTGTTTGTTTTGTTTTTTAGTTTTTCTTTTTGTTTTAACTGTAATTTCTCCTATGATTGTTTGTAAAAATGTGATTATGAATGATCAATAGAACATATAAATAAATTTAAAAAAAAACAATAGCAGGCCTAAATCATTCTTTTTTGTGACTGGGGAAGGGGAGGGGGATCTCTCTGATTCTGCCTGGGTAGTCATATTTTTTTTAATGATATTTTATTTTTGAGCATGGAAAATTGATAAGGCTAACAGATAATGAAGCATAATGAAACCTGACTTCTTTTTTTTAAAGCTGAAGTTGAAAAATAATGAAGCTCCCATTTTGTTGCTTCATGCCTCCCTTTAAATTTGTTTAAACAAATCTTTCTGATCCATTGTCAAGAAGATTTTGAATACCAAAGCCAAAAGTTTTTTGTGAAAGACTTCTTCACAGACTTCTTCAAATATTGACATCACCAATATATCTTTCCATATTCATTCACAACAATAGTAATCATGCTGCTTTTATTTTTATATTTGCAGATGGGCCTCGATGCTGCTCTCCAACACAAATGGTCTGTTTGGAATACGTGCTGAAGTTCGAGGGCTCCACCACCTTGACTACAATAAGCCAGCCATTGTCGTTGCCAATCACCAATCTTCCATTGATTTGATGAGTGAGTAAATACGGCCATTTACAATTCCAAAATAATGTTGCTTGCTTTCATTTAGAAGCAGATCAATCAGACTACCATGATATACAAAGATTTAAGGAAAATATCAGACAAAGATAATGTAAAAGAGTTTTTTTCTCTGTAATTTTGTTCATTATATGGAAATCACTATCAGATTAAGACAAATTGGCAACTCGGGCAAGACTCTTCCTTCGCTGTTCAACCATTGTTTCATTGATTTCAATATCATCCTCAAAATAATTTCCTGATATCTTCAATTAGTAAACTTGACCAAGACATTTTCTATACATTTAATCATGTTTCAGAAGCATGATAAAGGGTGAATTTGGGTGGAATTTTGATGTACACTGTAATTGTAAATGTATATAAATGGACGAATTCTTGATAGTAATTAATTGCTCTTGTTATAAATAATAGAGATGCAACTAGTGCAAGTGGGCAACTGATCTTTTTCTTTTACCAATTCTCTGACCATGCCCAACAATGAAGTTTACTGTTAAACCTTTCATCTTTTAATTTACTCTACACGTATAGGCATGTTCTCGTTTGGCGTTTGGCCCAAGCGATGTGTTGTCTTGGGGAAGAAGGAGCTTTTGTTCTTTGGACCGTTCGGTGTGAGTCTGTACCTGTGTGGAACAGTCTTTGTAGATCGCCTTAATCCAGAAAAGGCCAGAAGTACAATGGAGAAGACAGCCCAACACATCAAGGATAAAAATGTAAGTCAAAGACAGGGACCCCAATACAAGGAACTCTCTTTTGCAGAGATGGACAAGTCCTAGATATTTTGTCCTCTACCTCACTGACCTCACCTTACATCATATTAAGTTATATCAATGTTATAATCTTTTTCTTGTATATATTTGTTTTCCTGTTAATGTTCTTTTTGTTGATTTCTCTAATTTCTCGAAATACAGGTTTATGTCATAGTTGGTGCCCAACCACAAGTTTGTATTCAATCTTCTTTTGGGGCTCCCAAGTCCTAACCCCATGTTTTTATATTTACCTGAATTATTGTATGAGTATGTTTATGGTTGAAATAAATTGAATTGAATTGAATTGAATTGAAGTTATTAGACCTCATATTTTGTATAAATTAAAGACCAAATAATATGAAGTGATTTTGATCTAATAGTTTATGTTCAGAACTCACCATACTGTGTTGAGGTACAAGACACCAACAAACCAAATACCTTGGACTTTCCCAGATATAACACAGTCATCTGCTGAGAGCCAGAAATACGTTAACACAACATTTTTACACCCTCCTAGGTCAATGTTTATCGAGAGTGTATTTAAACTAGCAACATATTTTTAAAGTATTAATATTTGAATTTCATAGTTTGAGCATTTTAAAGCAAAAATGAACCTGTTACATACATGTACAGAGCAAAAATAATTTTAGGTGAATGGTAAACTTTAAGGCCTAGAAAAGTGTTTTCTATGATGTATGAATTGATTAAATTTTTCTCTCCAGATCAAAGTTTGGATATTCCCTGAGGGAACCAGAAATAGGGAAACAGGTCTGCTACCTTTCAAGAAAGGAGCTTTCCATCTTGCCGTCCAAGCTCAGGTAAATTACCCAGTGTTCAGATGAACAGTTTGAAATACCAGAATTCATGGTACCTAAAGCAATTAATTTCTCCTAGTCTGAATGTCGTATAATGAAACATCATGCAGCGAAACACCTGTTTGAGCATCCTTTCAAACACAATCTTGATTAAGAATCAGGGTCCTGCTCATATCATAAATAGATATCATGAATATGTCATACAAAACGCACATCTGGTTGAAAAAGAATATGTTCAAGAAAATAATCCCAATATTAACTGGGGATGTATTCTGAAAGCTATGGTATCTTTTATGCTGGGGAAAATGATGTTAATAAAAACAAACTCAATATGCTTGGCACTAAGTTTACGCAAACACAGCCAGATTTGTGCAGACATTAAACGATGACTTGTCCTAATTTTGATTTGTTACGTCAGTTAACATTGTTTTGCTAACGTAAAAGATAACAACTTTTTGAGAATACCACGCCTGATTGTTTCCAATTATTGTTATTATTTTTTTGATACAGGTACCTGTCATTCCAATCGTGTTTTCATCATATTCTGATTTCTACAGCCACAGGGAAAAGCGATTCGGAACTGGTAAGCATTTTTTCAATGTCATGCATAATGTCTTCATTAATAGCTACTGTGGGTTCATGGTTATTTGTTTAATTTTATATTTATATAATATTGGATGGCTTTGAGTGTGATACAAGAATATATTGCTCGTCTTGGACTCTCCAATATTGTTATAGCTCGAGCAATATATTCTTGTATCACACAAAATCAAAGCCATACTATATTATTATTATTATCTATATCAGGCTGATTAGCGAAATAATGCTCTATTGTCAGAAGGGACACCAGTTTTGCAAATTGGGTACAGTGAACAGGTACCAGCAAAAGTGAAGCAATATTGTATCAACAGTTGAAGTTCCTGGATGGCAGAGCAATACGAAAACAATATTGATCCGTCATCCGGGTACTGTGCTAAAGATATTAATTTATTGGTTTATTTTAGCACATGGAAGCCTTATATAGATAATAATTGTTATTATGAAGGTTAAATTGAGCACGAGCCATTTCTAATGTGAAATATGAAGTATAATTTTAAGGAAAATTCTGCACAGGTAGACTCCTAACTTGAAGATAAATATGGGTCATATTTGGAACCAGAATCATAGCTACTGATATACTCCTGTACCTCACTTGTGTATATCTATATCATGGTAAGAATAATAATTAGATCAATATATAATGCAAGTGCTATATAAATATACTCTACTGTGCTGTAATGAAGACAAAATTCCTAAAAGTGATTTTTCATGGACACACAACCAAAACATATTCTTATGGATGTAAACTACAGTTTTTAATATTGTTTCATTCTCTATGATTCTTTTGGATATGCCTATGGTGACTTTAAATTGTGTTAAATGCCAAGTTCAATTCGAGACTTGTTTTCTTGCTTATTTTGCTTATTCAGGAAAGTTTACCATCACAGTGCTACCCCCTGTCTCCACCGAAGGAAAGACCAGTGAGGACGTGAACGAGCTCACAGAGACAGTCAGGAAACAGATGCTCACCACTTACAACGAGACCTCCATGCAACGGATGGAGAGTAATGGTCTCAATTGAATCAAGGGCAAAGGTGAAAGGTCAAGCAAGATGAATTGTCGATTTTCCAACAAGGAATTATGAAGTGAAATGATGATGACGTCTACATTATCACTTACGAGACCTCTCGGCAAAGAATGGGGATCAATATCCTCAATTAAGGGTAAAGGTGAAGGGTCATACAAGGTGAAGGGTCATACAAGGTGAAGGGTCAATCTTTCTTCGGGTAAATACATGAATGAAGTGTAGTGGTAAGGAAGTAGATGTGACCTCTGATGAGACCTTGGCAAAGAAAGGAGAGCTATGATCTCAAGAGCACAGGTGATGGGTCAAGTCTTCCATTGGGGAAATATAAAGTGTTGTGATGAGGATGACCTCTGATAACACCTGTCCAAAGAATGAAGACCCAGTGGCCTGAATTAAGGACAAGGACGAAGGATGGAGCAAGGTCAAAAGGGGAAGGGTCTATCCAGGTGAGCTCTGGATCTGTCATCAATCAAATGTGAAACCTGGCAGTGAGGAAGCAGATACCACTTGCTAGGAAACCTTGCCAATCATGAAAAGCAGTTGGGAGAATTAGGGCTCAGTTCAGCGCAAGGTCAAGAGAGGTGAAGGGTCAATCATCAGGGAAATGTGATGATGGCACTAGTCCTTCATGACTTGTTGCCAAAAATAGTAGGAGAAATGAGAATCACTATTTCTCTATTTATCAAGTATTGCGGAGCAGCTGCCAACTCAAATCGGACAACGTTTATATCAAAGCTCAAAGCTCAAGATTGCAAGCTCATACTGATGATTTTTTTACTGGGAAAGAAGAGCACAACCTGTAGGCACGGTATTTGCTGTGTATCCAAAGTCGACAAATGGATGGCCTGGAAATGGCGAGAGTTGGAAAGGAATATGGCTGAAGTTTTAGGAGTTAATGTCGTTTTGGCTGTAAATGGATTACATCAGGGTATATGAGGAGGTGCGCAGATGACAAGTTGCAAGCACAGGGTAGAAAGAATGTTGCATCTGTTTGAAATGATGGAACATTTTTTTAGATATCTGTCATTGGGACCTTCTTTGTGGATATAATGGAGAATGATGTTATTCTTCATATCGTTTCTTGAGAGCCAGAGAGGTGTTTTATACTCGGTGTTTAAGTATGTGAGACAATGTCCTTCTATTTCTCAACAGATTATATACATGAGTGAGGAGAGAAAGACTTAGTATTTGTTTGAAATATGATGCCTTGCTGCGAGAGTCGACTGGTACTTGTGACACAACAATTTGTTGACTGTGATGGATCCATAGATCTATCACTCTTGTCATTTTACGTGACAGTAGAGTGTGATATTATGTACGGGTGCCTGCAAAGATGTGACATGAGAGACTGCCTTATGGCGTCAATGACCGTAGAGAGAGAGAGAGAGAGATTGACGTCTTTTGAAGGGAAAAAACTATTTTTGTGCAAGAGCTTCCTATACTGAGAGCCAGAGGGGCATAAATGGTTATCTCACCAACTTGAGGTAAAGCCATTATGGTTCTCAGCTGACAATATGTAGATCTATGTTGGAACACTTCATTTTGTTTTTTTATACATTTTTATTGCTCGGTAGTTGGTACAATTGATTCTTTCTGTTTTTCTTTCTTAAGTTTTGTATTTTAGCATTTTAATTGATCTTCACTTTGAAATATACTAACTTGCTTGTTTTTTTGTAGCCGTGTATTTAGCAATAAAGACCATTGACAGTAAAGTTTGTTTCAAAAGGATATTTTAAAACTGTTATTTTGGTAAGAAAGATGTATATTGACCTTTGTTACCGTATGTTTGGAAACTTTATATTTGTATAAATGGTGCCAGAATGTAAATGATATCAGATGCAAATGGATTAGAGGTGCTGATATTTTTGAGTAAATTATTGCCATTTGCAGTTTAAAGAGGCTCTTTATTTATATTTGAGACATGGATACGGTCTGTATTTTGGGCAGTGTATGCTCTCTTGAAAATACCTTAATGGCATATACAGTGGGTATGCATTGTTCTTGCTATCTGAGCATTGAGTTGTGCAAATAGTTTGGTTTGCATCTAGATAAAGAGTATAAAATCTTCTTTACAGTATTGCGCGATATCTGCTCACCACAGAGTTGGTTGGCTCTTGTGACAAAATAATCTTTTTTAAAGTATGATACCGTTAAGTTGATTTTATTGTTCCGAAATTTTTTTATTCCAGTGTTTTTTGTTGTTGCCCGGATATAAACGAGGTTAAAAAAGATGATTTCTTGGTCGGAAAGAATAGGTTATATTTTATATACACTGTATATTCCAGTGTTTTTTGTTGTTGCCCGGATATAAACGAGGTTAAAAAAGATGATTTCTTGGTCGGAAAGAATAGTTTATATTTTATATACACTGTAAAAATATATAAAGGTTTTTATTGTACTGCAGTATTACCGTAAGTGGGGTCCACTGGGAGTCTTCCCCGACCCCACATCCCCTATCCACCGGCATAGATATGGTGCTGAGCCCAGCTTGCCAGCGTGGGGTTTATGACCAGTAAGCTCCCTGGCAGATTTAAGGAGAGGGGGGGGGGGGGGGAACCAGCTAGTGCCCTGCTCCCACCTTCCCTATTTTAAATCAATCTTTTCTTTCTTGAATACATAGATAATACTTTTTTTCTATTACTCTTTATTTTGATATAATTTTTTTACTGTCTGTTATTTTCTTATAAGGGATTTTTTTTTTAAATTTCCCCCTCCCCCTTCCCCCTTCCCGCCCCACCTCTCCATTAACTGAATCCTGGATACGCCTCGTGAATCAAACCTGGCCTAGCATAATATATAATGTTTATACATGTTAAAATTTTAGTCTACCACCAGCTTAGAAAATCACTTATTCAAAGACAATCATTTTTGTGTGATTTTAGATTTTAATCCATTGCATATTTTGCCTCAAGAGAAAGATAAAGGGAGTTGTAGTTCCAAATTTCCTATACAGGAGGATGGGGATGAGAAACATCAACATTATACAGTTTGTTGGCCGAGTGGCAGAAGGGCGTTAGCGCGCGAGCGACGCGAAAACTACTTATCGATTATTCGCAGTTAAAGATTTGTTTTAAATTTAAACTGCTTTTCGTCCGGAAAATTGGTTTCTCTATCTAAAACTTAAAAGACTAATATAAATGTTATAGTAGAACACGGCCACAATTATTTACTCGGAAATAAGTCAGTTTCATAAAAGTTTGAGGCGATTTAGTGCTAACGCCCTTCAGCTTAATGTTTCATTTTTGACCTGAAATTCGAGCTATCGCCCTTCTGCCACCCAAGCGACAAGTTGCATTGGTGCTGCAGGCAGGCAATACAACAGAGTTTTAACTTTGCAGAGAGCCAGGAGGATGTTAAGTCATACCCTTATTTATTTGTAAATTGTAATACCCTTTTTTCGTCTTAGCTGAAGAAACATTCAGACACACTTTATAGTACCTGCATGTTCACAAGCGCAATAAGGTGAGACACATGTTTTTTATGCATAATTTTTACTGAAATGATTATTTCTAATTTCTAATATCTAATTTGGAGAGTATATTTATGTCTTTGATGTCACACGCTATACTTTATTCTGTTATTGCTGTTGCTGTTAAGGACTAAGTATTATGAGGCCGCGTGGTTAGCCACCATGATATGATGTGGTATACCAAAGTGTTTTCCATGTGTCTTAATGTACAACTGTTTCCTCATGCCATGATTAGTCAGTTGAATCTTCAAACAAGTTCTATCCCTCTATCCCTTGTACACGATTTACATTTAAACCTCTCCATTTTTTAATAAGCCATGTGATCGATAAAGGGATTCGATCACTTTGATGCTGCATTGAGTTTTATGACAAAGAACCCCCTTAAAGAGAAGGTTGAGTTCTGGGAAGAGGTGAAACAAAAATTTGTGAGCATTATCATTGTCGTTCTAAATATGGCATGTAACAACTTAAAAATCGCAACAGATTTTTATGCCACATGTTCATGTATAGTCCCATATACATATTCCTGTGTACAGTGCTTGTAACTTTACCAAGACTGGGCCAAATTTCTTATCATTTTCATGATTCCCTGGACCTTGCAGTACACACCAATACTTATATGCTAGATGATCAACCTTTTCTGATCGTTTTCCACACAGTTTCTTTAACAATGCAATCGCATGACCAGAACTCAACTTTATCTTTAAAGAGGTGTGTAATAAAATGGCTTTAGTTTTGAATAGGTTACTTTATTGATGTTAATGTTCAGATTACTGAACCAATGATTAAGCATGCTTGCAACTCATGTTCATCAAATGAAGATTACATTCATTCTTGAGATTTCTGATCCATATAAGACTGTTGTCATGTTATTTGTCATTTATCCATGATCTATAATCCTTAGGGTATTTTAACTTGCTTTATTGAATCTTTTTAGCTGCAGTGAATGACATGGATTTGGTGCAAACGATTTGATATTGAATATGGTTAGTACACAGATACTAAGTGAACAATTTTATGAAACAACTACACAATTTTGTCATTAATGCATAAATACCATTCAAAGTGACTAATGATATGATGAAAATTAAAAAAAAAGTTAGTTACATTTTAGGATTTATGTTGATACTCCCAATAGAGGCTGATAATAGTTGTCTTGGTTTGTTGTTTATCACATCAATATCTCTGCAATGAATTCTTGATATTGTAGTGCTTATGCACTCTTGATTATGATTTGTCCATTTATGTAGACAAATGTTAACAAAAGGTGCTCCTTGCAAAGAATCAAATACATACATTAAGTCGCCAGAGTTTCCACAAGTTAACTGCAATTTATCGGTAGCTTAATTTTACACCATGTATTGTAAAAAATATCTGCAGTTCATACATTGTATAGTTAATTTTTTCTATTTGCCATTTCTTTGTATATTTTTGTTAGATGAAATCTAGATGTATTTCTGATTTAAGTATCACAATTTCTTTGTTGTATTATGTAGAATATATAGCAATAAGCTCTTTCTTTGAGAAAATATTGAATGCCAACATCAGACTTCTGTAATATAATATTTCTTGTTGATATTTGTACAACTTGCAATGGTGTGAACAAATATGGATATAATGTCATATTGATATTAAAAGTTATGGGGTTTATAACAACTTTTATTTTTCAAAATGTGTATACTGTTCTGTATGATAAGTGACTTAGTCCATCCCTCATCTTTGTTTTACTGAGGCTATTAATAATCCAAATGGAAATCATGTTGCAGATTATTATCGGGCATTAAAGGTAAAGACCAGTATTGGAAACGCCCCAATTTAAAAAAAAAATGACATGGAAGCTCTTATTACCAATCATGTGAAAGAATATGTTTTGAATATTACATGTAGATGATGATAACAA